TCTTTCCAAGTCACAGCAAAAATAGCTCGGCTTTCTTTGGGGCCAGTCATTGTTCAGGAGAACAATGCCCTCCTGGGGACCATGGCTGGCCTATGTCACAGTGGTTGGGCAAGCTGCTCAAGGGAACTCCCACGAGGGGCACAGGGGACTGCTAAACCTCACCCTTTCGGCTCCTTTGTTCCCTCTGCTGATGCTGTTCTTCTTCTCCTGAGGTTCTCTTTTCTATCGCCATTACACATGAAAGCGTCGCTCATCCTTTAGAGTCTGGCCATGGACCCTGGTCACTCCCAAACTCACCCCACTTTCCCCCCATCCTCAGCTCCAGGCATGCTTATCACCTGCACACTGTGGTTCACTTGGGAGACAGGCCCACTTGGGGGCAAACCTGGCTCTGTTCCTTACTAGCTGTGTGTCCTGGGTGAATTCCGCAACCTCTCTGGGCCTTCGTTTTCTCATCTATGAATTAGGATAAAAATACCTACGTCACAGGGTCATTGTGAGAGGCAGACTAAGTGAGTTAACCTATTTACTGCACTTAGCACTGTGCCTGGTATATAGTAGACATTCAGTACATAGTGGTTTTTACGTTGATGTTTTTCAGTCTATGTTTGGTGCCTTCCCAATGAGACTGAGAGCTTCTTGGGGGCAAGGACCATGACTCATTTCAGTTTGTGATGGCAGAGCACAATTTTGGGGCTGCAGAAAACACTGTATTTGTCAGCGCCTAAGTGTGCAACATATTTGAGACATAAACAGCCTCTGCTATTGGATTTTATCAGAAACTATTGAGTAGTGGGTGTCTGGGTGGCTCAGTCTCTTAAGCATCTTGATTTTGGTTCAGGTCATGATCTCAGGGTCCTGAGATCGAGCCCCATGTTGGGCTCCATGCTGAGTATGGAGCCTGCTTAAGATACTCTTTTTTTCTCCCTCTGCCCGTCCCCACTTCTGCGTGTGCCCGCTCTGTCTCTCTCTCAAAGCAAACAAACAAATATCACCTCGGGAGCCCACACTTCCATTAATCCATTCATTTATTCACCACTGACTGCTTCCTAAATGCATCCCCTCAAGCTTCTGTTTCTACATGGTCTCTCTAGTAGAAAGAGCTATAGGCTGGTGATGGAAGGTACTAGAGTGCAGGGGAATGTGGAAGGAGCAATAGATTGCTGAAAATACAGGTCTGCAGACCCCAGACTTCCCTATGCATCAGAAACAGCTTGGGTGGATACAGAATTTTGGCTCCCATCCCCCAGAAGTTCTAATTTAATTGGTCTAGGGTGATTTTAAAACAACAAACAAGCAAATGAAAAAAGAAAAATAAGAAACTCCCCAGGTGATGGCACTGGTGTGCAACCAGGGATAAGAACCCCTGGAGGAGATGATGCACAAATACCCGAGGGGACTTTTTTCCCTAGGCAATGCTAAGGGGAGGGACTGCATGCCAGGCTAAAGTGGGGAGCAGAGGCAGGAGGAGGCACCAGCTCAGAGACTGAGCAAGTGTGGGTTCACATTGTCACCTCGCCTTCCTCCTCCCCAAGAGGAGCCAGGAAAGTATCTAAGCTAAGAGTCCCCACGGGAGAGGGGCTAAGGATACCAGAGGGCATGAAAAGGCAGAGCTGTGTAGAGCTTAGGAAATAAATCATTTCCAGAATGAATTCCGCAATTGCCCTCCTTAGATGGAAATCACAACTTGATGATAACATTGGGGCACCAGACCTCACAGACGTGGCCATTTTGTGAATACGCTTCTAACCTTGCAAAGCCATGCGAGCTCATTTGCTCCCCTTCACCGCCCAGCCGCTGCCCCCCCGCCCCTTGCCAATAAAGTCTGGGCAGGTCAGGCTTGATGAAGGGTTTCCAGGAGAGCAGTTGATTTGGAGCACTGGTGGTACCTAAGATCCAGGAGAACAGTTCCCTGGTCTGTTTCAGGCCGGTTTCACAATGGCGATCCTGACGCATAATCATTTCTGCAAGAGAATGTCATTATAAGACTGCTTCAAGGAAGCCAGACCCCCCACCCTGCAAATGCAGTGCTGCTGGGAATCCTGAGGACTTATTCCTGGCATATTATGTCAGGATGCTTGATTTCCCTCTCCCTGTCTTCTAACTTCACAGACAGGAAAAGAGAACCAGAGAAGATCTGGAAGTTGCTCATCACCCCGGGGTTTGTACTGAGCATGAGCTCATATTTCCCAGCTTTTTCTAAGACACAGCTGGCTCATTCATGCTGGTGAGTTTTAGTAGAGAATATCCAGGATTTAAAATTTAAAAAGAGAAAGAAATTGAGAACGACATCAGATAATTTTCTTTCTTCTCTGCCTGTTTGTCTCTGTGTTTCTTGGCAGTTGTCTGCCATTTAATCTAGGAATGCAGGGTGAATATGAACTTCGAGGGGATTTACCATTAAAGGGACCCTACTGAAGATATATTGCCTTGAATCTGGTGTTCTACTCCCTGCTTTTAATTGGGTGAATTTGGATTTTTTTTTTTTCACCATTAGCCAAGTTAAACAGCCTCCATTGGCTCCTCATGGATGAGAATATCTGTGAGCTGAGGGTTAATGAAAGATTGTTGATATAGGTAAAGGCAGTTTGTCTTCAGGTATCTCCCAAAATGTAGGAACCCCAGGGCGCCTGGGTGGCTCAGTTGGTTAAGCGACTGCCTTTGGCTCAGGTCATGATCCTGGAGTCCTGGGATCGAGTCCCACATTGGGCTCCCTGCTCGGCAGGGAGTCTGCTTCTCCCTCTGACTCTCTTCCCTCTCGTGCTCTCTCTCATTCTCTCTCTCTCAAATAAATAAATAAAATCTTTAAAAAAAATGTAGGAACCCCAAAAGCTGAACTGATCTCAGCTGGTATCACTGTTCTGATTGGCCAGGCCAATGTATGACAAAACAAACTAGTTGTCAAATATTTTTAATATTACCTTTCCATCAACATGGTGGCATTCTTCTTTCAAGTGGAGAACCCACCCTTACCCTTACTGTGGAAATGATGACTGGGTCCCCGTTCTTATTCTCCTGCATCCAGAAAACATTCCCTTCCCCACAGTGGGGTTCCTGCTACATCTCTATTGACTTGTGAGTTTGTTGTCACTAAGTAGGTCAACAGAGAGAAGAGTGTTAATTTCATCAAGAACTGTCCCTAGGGAAGCTGTGAGAAGATGGAGACAGTGGGCAATATTGGCCATTGGCCTATATACCAAAAGGACCGGACATGGCCATTTGGGGACATTATAAGTCTTGCTAATTCTGACCCCAAAGCCACCACTGGGAAATGATGGAAAGGATAGAGTTAGCTCTAGTCCCTCTAACACCTGGGTCCCTCCCTGGCTGTCACAGGTCAAGGGAGGCTCATTAACTGTTCAGTTACTACATCTCATCCCCTAGATTAACTGCCTCTATCTGGAAGCAGCTAGTCGAGTGCACTAAGGTGGGGCCTGAAAAGGTTAAATTGCCTCCTAAGTATCCAATTCATCCCAAGAGCAGTTGTTATCACCAGGCTCAGTCTGCTCAATATCCACAAAAGCCTGTTCCCCTTGAACAAAGAATTGGTTCCTACGATTGCCCTACGGCAGATGCATCTGGTTGGGATATCTATTCTCGTAACCCAAATTGCAAAGCATTTTCCAAAAGCCATTGAGTTGCAGAATTTTAAAAATGTATTTTGATTGCCAGATCTGCAAATTGGGTCAGTTTTCCAGGGCCTTATGCTTCCTTTTTTTCCACTGGGGAAGAGGAAAAGAAGGCAGCCAGCAGCTGGTGATTGGAACACAATTCTCCCTGGCATGTAAGTCTTGGCTGCCATCTGTGTGTTATCCTGGCCACGGTCCGCTGGCATTCACTGCAACGCCTGGGCCGAGGCCTGCCCTTCCTGATGGCTGCCCTCTGGATTCCACTAACATCCAGAGTGAAACACTGCAGCTTGCACCCCTGTGGCTCTTCATGGTTTTTAATCATCTGAGCTTCAGGAAAGTCTCTGAGAAAATAAGAGGAGGTATAACTATCCCCGTTTCTCAGATGGGGAATATCGGGCTCAGTGAAGATATGTGACTTACCCAAGGATACACAGCTTATGGTGATCTTGGATCTTAATCTGTATCTTCTGCCTCTTGATCTACTACTCTTTTCACGAAAACTCATGGCCGTAAAAAAGTCAGTGAGGAAAGGCATCTGTATGAAGTGGTTTGTCTGGGTCCCCAGACCTGAGTGGGTTGGAATGATGCAATCTGATACTCGACTTTTTAAATGCAGCAGTGATTAATCTAGTCACCAAAAAACTTCATCTTAATCACCCAGCATTATAAAGAGGAAGCTATCAAAAATCAGTGCATAAGTTGGGACACCTTATATGAATATTCAATGTTATGCACTCTATTACTATAAAAGACTATAAAATACAACATATTTTTATGACTAAGTCCAGGATTTTTCATACTAATGAGTCATAGCCCATTAATATGCATCATAAGGTCAATTTTAATGGGTTGTTACCAGAATTCGAAACAAAAATAGGGTAAGATAGGATGGGATCGAATTGAAAAAATCAGAATGTGACGTATATAGCAAAGGTAAATATTGTACTCTGAAACCTTTTGTTCATTTATTTTGTGTACTGGATAATAACACTGTGGTGTTTGAAGTATTTCTTGCTCAGTGGTCTTTCTCTTTTTCCTACTCTGCCCCCTCCCTCTTTCTCCTTTCTCTTTCGTTCCCTCTCTCCTTCTCTAAGTATATAGGAAAGGTACCCAAACATCTGCTACCTTTGTCCTCCATACAGGGCCGTCGCCAACCCCCATCCTGCCCGACCTGATCATTTACTCAGCCCCGGGTCCGGAGCAGACGCTGTTCTCTACAGTTGATACCTTCATGCTCCTTCCGTTCTCCTCTTTTTGTTGTGTGACCTTCGAAACGAGGTTTGCTAGTTCTCTCTATGTTTTATAAACAAATTCTATCTCTAAACTATCATATTTACATTTCAGGCAAAGCAACTCAGTCCTAAAGAAATGAAATCCCCAAGGAGAACCACATTGTGCTTCATGATTATTGTGATTTATTTTTCCCAAGCTACACTGAACTTGAATTTAGAGTCTATTGTTCATCCCTTGGTGAGTACACCCATGTCTGCTATATTTTTCCTTGTCAAATTTTTCTGATTACCTGGGAATGTCACAGACAGAAATTGCTTAGAAAAATTTTTTTAGGGCCTCTGAGAAAATGTTGCAAATGTGGGGAAGGGGATGAACATAAACGGGTATCAGTGTGTCTACTGGGCTACCACTTAGCATACTCTGATATCAGTGATGGTCAAGGGAACACCCCCCAGCCTCCCTCCTTAACTAAATGGCCACCTTTAAGCCTGAAACTCCGCTCTGAAACTGACAACAATGACTATAAGGCAGATTGTGAGGACTGGGCAGGACGCATGTTCTCAAAGGATTCATTTAAACTTGAGAGTCAGGGAGCGCCTGGGTGTCTCAGTCTTTAAGCATCTGCCTTCGGCTCAGGTCATAATTCCAGGGTCCTGGGGTCGAACCCCACATCGGGCTCCCTGCTCCATGGGAAGCCTGCTTCTCCCTCTCTCGCTCCCCCTGCTTGTGTTCCCTCTCTCGCTCTCTGTTAAATAAATAAATAAATAAATAAATAAATAAATAAATAAATAAATAAATAAAAATAAACTTGAGCGTCAGACTGAACACATTTCAGAAGGGGTGTGTGTGTGTGTGTGTGTGTGTGTGTGTGTCACAGTCACAGACTGATAGAGTCCATGGTGCCATAGCTGTCATTTAAACTTTTTGCTGACAGATTATAAGATGGTTTTGTTTTGGCTTTGGGAAGTTCATGGGAGATTAGCTTAACGAAAGAGGGTGATAAATACTCCCTTACTCCTTATAAGAATTATTACTTATTCCTTCCTGGGGCCGCCCCAGGCACCAGAGACAGGGCATGTTCTTAGTTATGAAATCTTGGGAAACTGATGGAATCCTGTGTCTCTGTTTCTTCACTTGTAGAATGATGATAATAGTACTGATTTCCTGATTGCTAGGAGAATTAGATCAGTTAATATTTGTGAGATGCCTTAGAATAGTGCCTGGCACACAAGTTTTTTGCTATTATTATTTCTTTGTCCCACTGTAATGGCATCTTTTGCTACCGATTTTTAAAAAAGATATCTAAGTGCTATTTTATTCTGTCACTATTGTTAGAGCTTCATTGGTACTTTTTGGCATTATAGAATGTCGCTTTTTGCTCTGCTTTAATTTCAATTCTTTGTCATCTATTCCGAGGATCAATCCTGTTTTTTTGGTAAGATATTTATTTGTTTGTTTGTTTGTTTATTAATTTAGAGCGCGAGCAGGGGGAGGGACAAAGGGAGAGGGAGAGAGAATCTCAAGCAGACACTGCACTCAGTCCCGACTCAGGGCTCGATCTCATGACCCTGAGATCATGACCTGAGCAGAGACCAAGAGTCCGACGCTAAATGGACTGAGCCACCAGGCGCCTCCAATCCTATTTTTATATTTGTGTTCGCCTGATCTTTGTTCGTTGTTTTTTGTTTAGCCTTTAATGTAGCACTTTGTGTTAATGGTTCTCTTATAAACAACATGTGCTTGAAGTTTTTTTTTTCTTTTAAACCAAACCTGAGTAAATCTGACTTTGATTAGGGGAGCATAAATGTATTCACATTTAATGTTATATATAAGATGCTTGATCTTACTTTCAGGACTTTCTTTTATGACTTCATGCACTTCCTTCCTCTTTTCTGTTTTTGCATCTTTCATTTGACCTCAGTTTTCTTTGTCTTTTTCATTATTTCTCTCATGACTTGGGAGCTATATACTGTGTGTCTCTTTTCCCAAACTCCAGTGTGGGCTTCACCTTGTGTGACCATATGCGGCAGCTTGCTCAGATAAATAGGAGAGAAACACACTTCCTGTGAATCCACAGGGTCAGTGTAGAGCTCTAGTTACTCAGGTCTGTGGGGTGAAAGCCTGAGCATGAGATGATCTCAGCGGTGGGGTCAGCTGTACCTCTGTTCCAGACTTTCCTAGCACTCATGGTGGCAACTCTGCGCTCCCACTATGCCAGTGTGGTCCCCCCTGTGGTGGCCCTTACAAAGCCCCTCCATCTGCCTGGGGGCAGAGGCTGGTCCAGGGATAAGCCAGTGACTTCCCAAAGCTGCTGGTGGAGTTCAGACTCCATCTTCCTGGAAACTCCCACCACCACCCCAAAGGGCCCCACTTTTCCTCTCTAGATCTGCCTTTGGGATACAGTATCTTCATACAACCCAAAGGCAGAAGACCCCCTCATTAGAGAGATGAACTTGAACCTGCCTCATCAGCTTATCCTGCCCTAAGCTGCCGCTCAGTTCCCAAGGCTGACCTTCTACCGTTTTAAATGCAACCTGTGGTAATGAGCTTTTAAAAACTTGTGGTAAACATGCACACAATTTACCATCTTAACCGTTTTTAAGTATAGAGCTCAGTAGTCTTAAATAGATCCACATTACCATACAACCCATCTGCAGAACTTTCTCACCTTGCAAAACTGAAAATCAGGGGTGCCTGGGTGGCTCAGTTGGTTTAGCGTCCGCCTTCGGCTCAGGTCATGATCCCAGGGTCCCGGGATCGAGCCCCACATCGGGCTCCCTGCTCAGCGGGAAGCCTGCTGCTCCTTCTCCTCCCTGCTTGCGCCCTCTCTCCCTGTCCCTGTCGCTATCTCTCTCTCACAAATAAATAAATAAAATCTTTAAAAAAATTCCTGAAAATCAATACCTATTGAACAACAACTTCTCATTCCTCCCTTCCCCCGACTCCTGGCAACCTCTTTTCTACTTTCTCTCTATGACTTCGACTACTTTAAGTCCCTCATGTGAGTAGAATCATACAGTGTTTGCCCTTACGTGACTGACTTCACTTAGCATAATGTCCTAAAAGTTTACCTATGTGGTAATAGGCATGAGAATTTCCTTCCTTTCTTAAGTCTGAATAATGATCCATTGTACATATATCCCACGTTTTGCTTATCCATTTTCCATTCATGGACACTTGGGTTGCTTTCTAGACTATTCTGAATAATGATGCGGCTCTGAGCATGCACGCACAAATATGGGGTGACGGGCTTTAAAAGTGTGGTAATGTAGCCTCTCAAGCTTCAATGTGTGCATTAACCCATCTGCGCACTGTATTAAGATGCAGATTTCAACTCAGGAAGTCTGGGGTGGGGCCTAGATGTGGCCTTTCTGACAGGTTGCCCTTGTTCCTGCTCCAGTGATGGCACTTAGTGCAGCAAGGCTGTGGACCCTCAACCTCAGCATCATGGCTGAGTCTGAAGCCCGGCTCTGTTAGCTTTGGAAATTTCTTCAACAAGTTTCTTCATCTCCCTGAACCTGTCTCCTCTACATACTGTGAGAATAAATAGTATCTCCTTCACTGGTTTGTTGTGAGGGTTAGACGTTCTCATACACGAACGTACACACAGTGACTAGCACAGAGCAAGAACTTCATATTTGGGGAGTCACTTTCACTGTGCTAGTACAAATAAACCCGGGTTAGTACGCCTTTGTGAGGAGACATCCTGCCAAGAGCTTTGCTGAGACAATTATCTAACCGGAGGCAAAGAGGGTAAATCGGGGATTCCAAGAAAAGGAGTGAGTGACAGGGCCTTGGTGAGGAGGAGTGAGATCTGACAACCTCTGGGGGCCTTCCGTGACCACCTTGCTTTTCATCCTGTTCCCTGGGATTATGTTTTCTACCCATAAATGCCACCTCTCATTCCTGATGGACTGTCCATGCCCACCTCAGGTCCCCTCTCCCCCCACCCCCATACACAATTATTTGAAAGTCATCAGGTCCAAAAGGTGGAGCATTTCCTGGAATTGGTGACCTTGGGTCTTCGGGCTGAGGCTTGGCCATAAGGAAATCCCCTTTGGACGGAGGTGGCCATTGTCCTCAGCTACTCATCTGGGTACCTCTATGTGGACAAGTAGAGGGAGGCCCCCTGGAGGTTCTGTTTTCTTGTCTGAAGTACATACTTCATCTGGCAAGATCTATGCTCCCCTGTGAGTTCTCCTCAGTACCCAACGTTTAAGAGAAAAGGCAAGTGCCAGAGTCACGAAGGTCCCTGAAATGAGGTCACATGAGGACTCAGGAGGGCAAGGATGGCCTCTGGTGAGCCCCACGCTGGCTGGACACACACCACTGCCAGAAACTGTCCAAGCCTCTGGTGTGCCTCAGAACATTACCTTCCATAATGTAAGACACTGAGCCTGAGAGTGAGTGAATGACTTTTCCAACTACGAAGGAGAGGAGGTGCTGGGATGTGAGGCTGGGTAAGACTCTAGCATTTGCCTTGTTGAACTCCAGACCCCATGACCTGGCAGCCCCTCTCTTTGTACCTTCTCAAATCTGGCAGGGCCAAGGGTATTCACCATCATCACCACCACCACTAAGGAACTCATCAGAGACTTGATCACTTTCAGTGTTTTTCCTCCATTTTCCACAAAGGTTGCAGGGCTTAAAATAAACAAATAGGTTATTCTCACAAGAAGATGTGCATCCTTACTGGACAACAGGGGCAGTAGGTGATAGAGCTGCAGGAGTGCACTTTGCAGAGATGTCCACTGACACTGACAGATAATCACCATCAGGATGGAGAAAATAGCTAAAAAGTAGCGTTTCTCGAAAGATGGCCTCATGTTCAAAAGGCGGTGAAGAGTGGATGGAGAAGCCTTCCTGGTGGCTCCCCCACTCCCTGCCCCCGGCCCCCAGGGAGGATGGACTCAGGAATGCAGCGGAAGACCCTTTCCTTCTGCCTAGGCACAGAGCCAAAGCAGGCTCCAGGGGAAGCTGGACAGGAACTAGCCCTATGCATTGACTTTGCTCCTTCTTGGTTCCTGTGTATTTAAGTATGACTAAAATAAGCCCACTGCAAACAAAATAGCAACTGGGCTTCTAAAATTCCAATCATTATGCATCATTCCTCTCTTTGTTGCTTCAGGAACATTTATGAACTGTCAGGTACATGGCCCCTCTACAGATCCTTATGGATGTAAAAACTGTCATCGAAAGGAAGGAGGGGGTAGGAGGAGGCAACAGAGAAAGAGAAAGGGTGCTGGATAGGAGACACTGGGGTGCTGACACAGACCCAGTTTCCTGAGGTATCTCCTTGCCTGTATGGACAAGTGCAGACTCTGGAGCCAGGCTAACGGAGTCTGAGTCCTGGTTCTGCCCTTAAAGGCTGTGTGAGCTTAGACAAGCCATTTAACTTCTCTGCAACTGTGCTTTCTCATCAGTGAAATGTGGATAATAATAGTGTCTATGTCTTAGACAGTCATGAGGATTAAATACCTAAGCACACATCAAGTACTTATCAGTGCCTGGTACAGAGGTATTGGATATCTCTCAAGAATTATTATTTTGGGGGCGCCCGGTTGGCTCAGTCGGTTAAGTGTCTGCCTTCGGCTCAGGTCATGATCCCAGGGTCCTGGGATCGAGTCCAGCATCGGGGTCCCTGCTCAGCAGGGAGCCTGCTTCTGCCTCTCCCTCTGCCACTACCCCCTGGTTGTGCACTCTCTCTCTCAAATAAATAAATAAATAAAATCCTTAAAAAGAGAATTGTTATTTTTATTAACGTTATGATGAGAGATAACTAGAAACTAATGGTAGACATCACAGATGGTAGAACGAGCTCAGCCTCAGGTGGTGTTCATAAGTATTTTTGGAGTTCGTGGTAAGGGACACACCCCAAAGGGTAGGGGATATCTGGCTCTTCTATTGACTCTTGAAGGGAGTTTGCATTGAGAAGCACATCCTAGCAGGGATGAGCTAGGAAGCCCAGGTCAGGTCAAGGTCTGGTTACCAGCTGCAGAATTGGCAGTGATCTTAATACAAAGCCGGTCAAAGTCAGTTCTTAAACAAAGAAGCTGCATGATACCGGAGAAGAGCTTCATAGAGACAAAGTAAATGGCAGTGTGTGGACGAAGGGATCCATGTGAATGGTGCCCCTAGAACAGTGTGATGCTTGGTCCCAGAATAGCACTTACTATGTCACCAGAATATTCTCAGTGCTTTACATTTGTTAATCATTGGATCTTTCTGACAACCTGATGAGGTAGACTAGTTTTATCCCTACATTATAGATGAGTGCTGAAGCACAGAGAGGTTAAATAACTTGCCCCAGGCCACACAGCCATTTTATAGCAATGTCTGCAGAGTCCTTGCTCTTAACTATTTTCCTATATGATACAATTCAACTTTATTAGAGACTAACTGTGTCACGTGGCAGTTCATTTAATTCTCATAAGTGTTCTATGGGGCCACTAATATTATTCTATTTTACCGAAAAGAGAACTGAGGCTCAGAGAGAAGTTCCTGAAGGTCACATACCTAGTACCCAGCCTTGTACCCAGGCAGTCTGACTCTAGAACTAGCTCTCACAGCCCCTGCCACAGGAAGCAGCAGTAGAACCATCCAGGAGAAAAAGGACCAAAGGAGGAGAAAATGATTTCTAAGCATGCACAATCTAAACAGCCCTAACGCAGCAGAAAGATTGGGGTGGGAACAGGCTGAGTGCCTGTCTAAGAGGTCACTGGAATGACTCAGTCTGAGGCAGAGAGCACAAGTTAAGAACACCATAATTATTTGAATTTCTTGACCTGGCTCAAACTGCAGGAACTTGCAGAGACTCAGATATGGTGATCTGGGGTTTGGCTCCTGGGTCTAGAGAGTGGTCTCTAAAACGGGAATGCCAGCGCACATTATAGAGTAACTGCCATCCACAGGGCACAGTGATAGTCACTGGGATCCAAAGCCCTCAGCTCAGCTCTGACATTTCGGGGCATGTGAGCAGAAAGCCATGGAGAAAAGGCATCTCTAACGCTAACTGACAGTTTCCTAAAATATTCTTTCAGATTCTCCGTGAACATGAACCAGCAGGGAAGGAGCTACTAAGACAAAAAAGAGCAGGTATGTAACCTCTTTGCTTGGCAGTTTCTTCTAGCAAGTCCGATCAAATGACATTTGCTGTAACTTTTCAAACCCTGCGATCCACGTAATTCAGTCTCCAAGTGCATCAGGGTTTGATTTCTAGAAGTAATGACAAGGGAACTCCATTCTCTACTCTATCTAGTAACATTCAGTGGATCTTAGCAACACATAAGCTAAGCCCCTCACTTCCTCCCTCACCGCTCTCCGCAGATCCCCAAAAGTCTGTTCCCAATGGCTCTCTCCTCAGCTCCCTACTTCCTCATGGTAACCTTTCAAAAGCACCAATATGATTCCACTATTTCCTTGCGTAAAATCTTTCATGGGCTCCCAATTGCCTTGGAGAGAAAATCCAATCACCTGCTCAAGTCTTACCAGACTTGTTCTCCTTCTGTTTCCTTTCACATGGTCGCTGCTCCATCCACCACCCCACTTTGTTGTCTGGGGGCCGCCAACCTAAGTCTCCATTCACTCGGATTCCTGCCATGTAAGGCTTTCCATTGGTGCCCCAGACAGGGAGGGGCTGCTTCTCTGGGTTCCCACTGCCCTTGTTACATTCCCAGAGCATAAGATTTGTCCCAATGCATTGTAATTATTTTACTTCCTATTTGTCATCCCCGGGAGACAGGAGTTCTCTCGAGCCCTCTCCATCCCTGTAGCCTGGCATCGAGCCCAGTTTCTCAGTAAATGAGTGAACAAATAAAGAGAGCGTATGTCCCTGTCACAGCTGCCCCTTTGTGAGTTGAGGATATGTTCCTATCGCAAAAAGTCCTCTGCCTTAGTGTCTGTACCAACTCTGGAGGAGGTAGAACTTCTTAACCTTTAGGATTATGACTGAACCATGTCCAAGCGTGCCGTGGCTTGGTCTGTTCAGTTTTGTGGTCCACAAGAGTCAAGAAGCTGCCAAAGAGAGCGGGCTTTCCCTGAGGCCAGGATAAACGTGTCCATCCGTTAGAGCCTTCCAGAACAGCAACCAGCTCCAACTTTGCCCGTTGCTTGAAATGACAATTTGATCATATTTTATTGAGGTCTCAAAATGTTCATTGGAAGGTCATACCTTCATTTTTTTCTTCTTTTGCCTTTCTTTTCTTTCTTTTCTGCTTTAGCTTTGTTTTATATCCTTACAGACCCTCGCTCTCCCACTCCCCTCCTTCCCTGAAGTGATCTGAAGCACACAGACCGCACTTTCCATGCTTTTAAACAAGCATCAGGACATCGACTCCAGTCCCTGAGTCCTCTTGCAGCCTGTGATAGGAACAGAGCTGGAGATGTCCCTGTTCGGTATTCTGAAAGACTTTTCTTTTTAAAATCAGACTATTTGTGGATGAGTTCTAGCTCCAGGCTTCTGCCAGGTTCTTGCTGGCCTCAGGCTGCCTGCTTCCTCGGGGACAGTTGGTGACTGTAGAGTTGTAAAAGGAACGTCTTCCTGTCCTTCCGGGCCCGGCTGCTTATGACCCATGGTGACATCGTGAGAGGTTAGCCTTTGGGGAGGAAACCACTTCTACATCTAAGGATTTGTCACTCCAAAATTTTCCAGATGTGCTTTCATTAAAAACAATCATGATGATAATAAATTACCATAAAAACCTGTTTTCCATTTATTATGCACGGTCCTCTGTGCTCTTGGCCTCTGGAGTCATTTTGGAAGTGTTAATGACTCAAGCCATCATCTTCAGAAGATGGATTGGCTTTGGTACTTTTACAAAATCACCAAAGAAATGGCCATGGAAAGAGCCAGGCACTAGACCACACAGAACTGGAATGTGAGTTGCAATAGACAGCGCCACTCTCCAGGAAAGCCATGAAAGAAACCAACAGAAGAGTTACATTCAGCAGATGCCTTACGGAGGTGTCTGTGTTCCGCTTGCTGTATTAGTTAAGTGAGGCGATAGGATTAAGCTTTGATTTTCAGGGTGCTATCCCCTTTCACATATATATTCATCCCCTCCTTCTGGGGACTTAATGCCAGAAAGGGACAAAGTTTCCAAGAGAATGAGGATCCTCAAAAGGAATGTCCTTTTGAGGCACTGGATTAGATCTTAAGGGTTTGGGATCGAATCGTCTTTAAAAGTAGGGTCAACACTCATTTATGCTCAGAGCACTTATGGACTTCTTCCTAAGTTACTTTGGTCAGCTATATAGCTTCACTGGGCCCTTGGTACACACACATACATATATGTATATTATACATATATCACATACATATCACACGCACAAACACAGACATACATATGCATATGCATATATATATGCATAAATATATATATGAGTTATTACTTTACAGGGTTGTTAAGATTAAATAACATTATGTACATATTATTTAAATGTTATTAGAGTTATCTGGAGGTGTATTTGATTTTGGGTTTTTCTTTAATTAGAAACACAGATTTATTTATAAAAATAACATTGCATTTGAAAGAGCCTGAAATATCCCGGGTACAGAGAAAGTCCCATATAACCCTGAAGGCAGGAAGAGGAATGCCATGAGAGGCAAATTCATGTTTTTGGAAAACTATTTCAAAATTCTATTGGGGAAGAGAAGTCTGCACAAAAACCCAGAAGCCAGGGGCCAGAATCAGGGTGGATCTGCCAGTTAGAGCAGAGAGGCTTCTGGGGAGCAGAGGGAAATGAGAATGGGACAGAGCATCCAGTTATGTCCCGATTACACTAGGAGGTGGGTTCTCGATCATCTGAAAGGCTGGCACAGAGGAAGGACTGATGGAAACCGTCTGAAGTGAAAACTAGCTGGATGGTTGTGGCCGAATGAAGAAGTCAGCACTCGGGAGTCCAGCGAGGAGGCTCAGCAGCGTGGACCATCACTGGCCCTGGCCCCTCGAGGGAGATAGGAAAGGAGAAAGGGGAACGCTTGTGAAAGATATTACGAGAAGTGGATCAAAAGGACTTGGAGACAGCTTTGACGTGGGGTGAAGGGTAGCAGTGATCCTTGTGACACTCTGTGAACACACAGACCTGGGCGTCTGGGGGATGTGGAGACCAGAGGTAGAACCCGGAGTTGGAATGGAAATCTCATCTTGAAGGTTTACCAATGAGCTCCAGATTTAGTCTTAAGGGTAATCTTCCTAGGGGAGCGAGAGCAGAAGTTTCTTATTGGTTAGCAGTAACACAAATGTGTTTTCTAGGTCACTTTGCGAAGTTGCCCATGCCAGGTTTCCGAGCTTCATTGGGAATGTTCTTGGGCCCTGGGCGGAGAAGTTCTCATGGGTTCTTCTTTGGCTTCAAAAGGAATGGCTGATAGCAGACATATTTTCGAGAAAGGGAGATCCAGGGTGTCCTATCCTTGTGCTGGAGGCGCTTCAAGTTCATACTTACCTAGTGAGAGAATTGGGTTGTTGGCTGCCAGTGTGGGAATTTCAATCTTTCTGCAGAACTGGCAGCCTCAGCGTGTGCTGGCCCTTTTTCATCCAGGTCCAGGAAATGCTGTGCATTTTCCAGGTTGGGGAACAGATTTAGGGGTTTTTGTGGCCTTAATCTTCCTTATCATAGCATGTGGCATTTAGTGTACTAAGCAGGTGGAGGTGGTAGCAGAGAAAGATGACAATGTGCTCTCAGCCTGGTGTCTGGGTTTGGTTTTAGGGTTGACCTTCCGTGTGCTGGGAGTGCTTCTTGCTTTTAATTTCTGATCAGTGTGGTGTGTCTGTTTAACCATCTCAAAGGTGAGACCTGATTGGAATAGCATTGGCTTTTCTTGACCTACCAGCAGACATCTGCATGTCATATAACCATCACATTTATCATAATTCATATTCTTATTTCTACCTGCTATTTCAGACTGGTTACTATATGCCAGACAATTTGCTAGGGGTCTCCACACCAACTTCCTAGCATCAGTTCTGCAAAAAATATATTACTGCTGTTTTACAGATGGCAAAGTGTGGCTCACAAGGTTAAATGGCTTGCCCAGGAAAGAAGGTATTCCACCCCACCTCGCTCTGGCTGCAGAGCCCATGCTCGTGGTGCAGAGTTCTAGTTTTCAACACGTGTTTCTGGTTTTTGCCAGTGAGATTCCAGTCCGTGATTATTAGAGCAGCTTCGTAGGGTAAAGAGTAAGGAGCACTGCCTTCATCTTAGTAGGAAAAGAATTTTATATGGGACTGACTTTGATGACCTGGGTATATGACAAACTAGTAGAATTGATTACTTTCTCCAGACTTTACAGGCCAGTGTTCCATGACACACTGTGCCACCCATGTTCCCCTCCATTGACACCTGCCAGTGAGCCCCAGCCTGGGGTTCTGGTAGTTTCCCCTTGCCTGAACATGAACTTCTGACTATCTGCTGACAATGGTACAATAGAATACAGGTGCTGCTGCCAAATTTCTACCTACTAGAACATATTAAGAAACAAGCGGAAGAACAGGCATCTTTTAATATTTACCTGCTACAGGACTAAGGGTGAGAACAACAGAGCCAAATCTTCAGTGATAAAGAAGTCTTGTCCCTTTGGGACAACAGAAAAATCACATCAACCTCATTTGTCTTGTGTGAAGTCAGCAGCCTTCGTTCTTTTGCAGGTGGGAGATTAATTTACACATAGACTTAGGCTCCAACTTCTGAGAAGCCGTAATTCCCATTAGAGTGGCCCGGCAAAAATAGGATTGTTTGCTTAAAAAGCTGTGCTTAAGACCCAGAACTACTTGTCTCAGTTTGTGGCCAACTTTCCAGAAATGTCTCTTTAAGATAAGTGCAGTGTGGCGGGCAGCAATTTCTGGGAAAGGAGAGGGGAAATCCTGTTTGGTCTATGTCTCTGGGCCTGCCTATAGGCTCCATCCGTCGGACGGATGACACCTGGAATGTGCTACCTTCCACTGGGGGCACCGGTGAGTCAGAAAAGTTCAGGCAAACAACACCAGGCCACCGGAGCCCGAGAAAAAGCAAACACGTTAAACTCTGGAATCAGATGGTCCAGAGGCAGCGGAGGAGGAGCACAGAGGGCCTCTTGGGGACACATTCACACAGAGGTGGGAAAACCTTCCTCTGTTCCTCCTGAGTCCCGTGTAGCCTGGAGCAAGACCAGGAACATCACTCCCCCCAGCTCTGAAGTCCTCGGAATTGGGAGAGGCCAGGCGAGCAGGATTTGGCATTTTTATCCCAAACTGTGGGCGGAGTGTGCCTCTGGTCCCATCCACCGGCAGGTCATACTGACACCTGAGCAGTTGAGCTACGTTCCTTAAAGTCAGACACTCGCCCTGCGGCTGTACAGTGACAGGAGGCCCGGTGGCAGCTCCGTGTGTCTTGCCTGTGGGGCCGAGACACTGGAGACCAGAACGAATGACCCGGATGGGGCAGGCATCTTGCCGTTCCTCGGACGAGCTGTGGAAATCCGCTGTCTCAGGGCTTTTGTGCTTATTTTCTCTTCCTGGGGGAGTAGTCCCCGAATATCCACAGGGCAACTCCTCATTTCATTTGCATCTCTGCTCAGCGTTTACTGCTTTAGAAAGGTCTTGTCTAACCATTCTACAAAAAATCCCACTCTACCCTCAATGTGCCTGCCACTCTGTTTTCTTAGCCTGCTTTATTGTCTCTCTCCATGCCCTTCAGAACTGCCCGACACCGAAGTTTCAACTTACTTTTACCTCCCCCATGAAGACAGACGATCCATGGAAGTAGAGCTTTGCCTCTTATTTACCCCATGTCCTCAGCACCTGGCACAGTGCCTGGGAAGCAGGCACTTAATAAACAGTAAAGTTACTATGAATCAATAAATGAATAAATGAAGGCACAAGTGAATAAACCTAGCAAGACTTAATGTCAAAATCCGAGTGCCAATGGCAATGGGTCACACTGTGTTCTTCCTCGGTGTGGATTTCTAAGACATTTATGGTGCTGAAACAAATAGAACAACGTTTTAGATAATTCTTCCGTTTATTATGAATAATTTTGCCTTTAATATGCTGTTATTTTAAAATTTACTTTGAGAATTGCACACTAGTTCTAAAGACACATTTAATTATAAAGCTTATTTTTTTTCCTTTTTACACAAAGGTTTATAAGGGGTTTACAAAGTGATCACCTTCATTATCGTCTTCCATTGGAATTGTGGTAGGGAATGGTTAAAATAAAATGGACTTTGGAGTCAGGAAAATGTGGTTTCAAATCCCAGTTTTAACATTTGCTATTCAGGGGGCTTCACCCCATTAAACCTCAGTTTTATCATCTGCAAAATGGGTGTATACACATTCTCCTCATGACCCCGGAACCTACAGGGCAGTGAATAAGTGGCAGCTACTATTATGATTGTTACTTTTATTATGAGCACTTTTGATCCATCGGGTGTGACTGAAGAAAGAGATGAACACGTATGCTTGGAGACTATCTGATTGCCCCCATAGGTGCGGGAGGCATCTAGGAAAAAAAAAAAAAGCAAAGCAAAAACAAAACAAACAAACAAGAAAACACACACACACAACAGAAACAAGTTTAGGTGCTAATATTGGCTCTCTAGGGTTACCTTCTTGGTTTCCTCATTTGGATTAAAACATTAAATCCCAAACCTGCCTGATCACCAGGATCACCAGTGGGAATTGGAAAAAATAAATACAGATTTCTGGGCCTAATCCAAAAAGATTTTACTTTGGCTCACCTGGATTGAGGCTCCAAAGTATCCGTGTGTGTTGCACTCCCTCGGTGTACATAATCATCAATCAAGTGTGTGGACCACCAAAATAGATGACTTCCAAGGGCAAGCCTATAGTTTTCTGAGTTATTATGGTGTTGTTGAGCCTGTTCTGAAGAATTGACTCTTGTCATGCTGAAGACGTTCCTTCTCTAGTGGAGGTCCCACATCCATACCAGTCTCTAGGGAGAAGTGTCGTTCAGGTGGAAGGTTATTCTGAAACTTCTTTAGAAGTTGAAAAACATAAAAGGTAGATGAGGGGAAGAGGTTCTTGGAGGCTGGTACTTTTATTACAGTTGCACAAATCCCCTAGAAGAGAATTTGTTAAAGTCACAGGAAGTGATGTTAAGTATGTTAAGCTTTTGGCTCAGCTCCTTGTAAGGTCTCAGCGGAAGGACCGCCTAGGTTTCAGTGGGGAATGAGGACATCAGTGAATCACCATGTGCTTCCCAGGCACACGTTTGTCCTGAAATTATGTCTGAAAAGAACACAGAGAGGTGGGCTCAGAGATGAGCAGTAGGAATGGTGCTCAGGCAGGGGCGTATGCCATGCTGGGGTCAGAACCTGGGATGCAACAATGCAGGTGATGAAGTGGGGGATGTGGTATTGTTATTGACTTCACTCTTCTAAAAAGTCCTACCGTCTAGGATATCCTGTTTACATTCATGGGAGGAGATAGACTGCCTACGGCAAAGAGAATCTTGGAGCTGAATCCGCTGAAGGGTTTAAACATGGCTGCATTAATTTTCAGGAAAAAGAATGTGCTCCAAGGCAGACATTCCTTGTAAATATCATGCAGCCACCCTCCTCACAAATATTCCCAGCAGGCCCCATACCGTGTCTAGAGTTAGGGTCACATAAATTAAGATTAATAGTTCTTCCAGGAAGCTTGTTTTCATCACAGAATCATTGGAGAATTAGAAAGAAAACAGGAAATTTGAGGCATTGCCATGGTATCATGACAGACTGTGCTTCTGCACTGGGTTTTAAAAGTCACTTTGTTCTACTTGTAATTACATTTTTATAAGCAGGAAATATACCTTAAGATATATTCTTAATTTTAAGAAAATTGGCAAAGACTTTTTTTTTTCACAGTTTGAGTTAATTACAGCAAGTTGAATGATGCATGTCAGAATGAAATAATTCTCAGAAAGACTGATGAATAAAACCAACCTTCTAAGACATAGTTTATCACTATAAGTAAACAGATATTACAGCTTTCTACAACAAAAATTTATTCATTGGCATTTCCCATCACAAACTTACTCTATTTTAGTGCTTCTCATCAATATTCCGTGGGAAATTTTAAACAAATCTGGCAATATTGTGAGAAAATTCTTTGCCCTTTTAGAAAACAGACCTAGAATTTTAATTTATGGCAAAGTATACAGCATACTTCCAGATTTGACTTAAATTTTAAAATAATAGTTTTGTAAGTATTCACTAACCTTTTCCTTATTTGACTGACAAGATAGAATAAGCCACAACTTGTCTTCTCAATTCATCTGTGTAAAAAATTCTCCTAGTCTTTGAAGGTTCCATCATGAGCTATGAAACTAGCCCTTGGCTTCTGCTCCTGTTATGTATTTCAGCCAAGAATGAGCCAAAGATTCTGGCAGTGACAGAGAGGTGAATGTGTAGCCCTGTCAAGAGGGTCCCAATTTTTAAAAGAACTGATTGGGCACACATTTATTATGTGGGGAGCTCCATGCCAAATGGAGTAAAGCCATGAGAACTGAAAGAAATAGTTCCTGCCCTTGAGAAGCTTACAACTAGTGAACCAGACATAATGTAATACAGAAAACTATGAAAGAATATTCTGGTATGTATATTGTCTGGCTTGCCTGTGGTGGGTATGTGTTGGACATCAAATGCATTTAGGATGCCAGATAGTCAATCAGCCTGGAGACAATTTGGAAAGGCAATGAAGAGCTAGAGATTTGTGAATTTTGCTTTCATTGAGTACCTATCACGTTCTGGACACCAGAGATACACAGTAAGAACTAAGAGCCCATGCTGTGTGCGTAGGCGAAGAGCAAAGGGAATTAACTGGATGACTTTTCCCAGAGGTCTTCAAGCCATGCATAGTACAGATCTCAAAACGCACACATGTCAAGTGAATGGTGTTGGAAACACACTGACTCATTCCTCTGAGTCAGGACCATGGCTTTATTGTTTAGACAGTTGCCAAGGTCTCCCTGCTAGGTCTCCCTGCTTCTATTCTTGCCCCTTCCGGTCCAGTTTCAACACAGCAATCCTTGACCTTGGACACCAAGGAGGGTGAGAGAACAGAGAGGAAGGACAAATCTTGAACTTAGCCTGTGAATCTCTCAAATGGCCAGAGACCACTACACTGAGACCAGACAAATCGGTTGCCTTCCTGCATTAAATGGTAAAGTCATGGGGCACCTGGGTGGTGCAGTTGGTTAAGCATCCGACTCTTGGTCTCGGCTCAGATCCTGAGATCAGGGTCATGAGATTGAGCCCCGCATCGGGCTCTGCACTCAACTCGGAATCTGCTTAAGATTTTCTCTCTCTCTCTCTCCCTTTCTCTATGCCCCTCACCCCCGCTTTCTCTCTCTCTCTCAAATAAATAAATAAATCTTTAAAAGAAAATAAGTAAATAAACAAACAAATAAATAAATAAATAGTAAAGTCATAGGGAACACCATGAAGGGGATGTTTGGTGGTATAAACTGACAAACTTCTTTTTCTCTAAAAAGGTTCATTAGAAATCCCTTAAGGCTGACATGTCCAGCATTCACATAGTCCCATTACTGCCTTTAAATGTTGAACTGTCCACCGTGGTCCCTCTCTGCCACCCACAGTGAGTTCTCACAGCTTCCTGTGCTTTCCTTTCAGTAGCCTCGAGTAGCCCAGCAGCTGAAGAGTATACCGTTGATGTGGAGATCAGTTTTGAAAATGCCTCCTTCCTGGAGCCTATCAAAGCTTACTTGCACAACCTCAGTTTCCCATTTCAAGGGAATAGCACTGACCAAACCACCAACATTTTAAACATTGAGGTGACAACAGGTGAGTCAAAGACCCATCGCTTCAGAACAGAGGGTGGGGTATATCAGGAGAAAGGCTGTCTGCACTCCTTACTATTAGAGCAGATTGTACTTAGTAGGCAAGTGAAATGACCCAAAAAGGCCTGAGGTATGATTTTATGACTTCATAGCATTCCAGAATGAGGCCCCTATTGGCAAACTCTGCAGCCAGTTTCCTTATTTCAAATGGTGGCCAAATGTTTGCTTGGTGGTTTATGTATTGGTTGTCACAAAATATGTCCCAAGATACTGCCAGGTCTTTCATGACCAACTATGGGGTTCCATTCCTCTGGGTAATCAGTGGGTACAGCAAGGACTGGTTCAGGTATTAATAAGTGGCAAGTTCCCTTCATTCTGGCATCATAGGTCAAGAAATAGGAACCGGGTACATGCCTGGATTGGAAGCAAGACATAATATAGAAACCCCCAGGCTATGGGATTGGACTTTCTGGTCACTGCCTCCCTTTTGAGGTTATGCTAGGTGTCCTACTTCTCAGACACCATCACCTGGGAAGCTATGATAGGGGACTCCCCCTTGTCCTAAACAAAGTTATTGTCTTGCAGGCACTAACAGATGTTGGATTTTATGATTCTAAAATGGAGGCAAGCATAAAATTCTTGTTTTTCAAAAATTGTTTTTAATTCTCAAATTTCAAATAGTCATCAATATCATCTATGCATTCCAGTTTTTTGTTCTTAGTATATGCTAGAGGAATATAGTTGCTGAAATGGTTGCTTCATAGCTCCTTTTGGGTGCCACTTCCCGCCAGTGCTGAAGAACAGAACTGCATCAGTGTTCGTGGATTCAGTAGAGCTTGGGTGTCCCTCCTATTTCAGGAACAATGATTTGATGGCTTTCCTTTGGGTAGTCATTCTTTGGACCTTTGCCTAGGAGCTGATTCTTAGAATAGACAGCTCCCAGTGTTATGACTTTGATTGAATTTTAGGAATAAATTCAAAACACTCTGTTTTCAGAGCATTTTCCAATGTCCCCAGTGGGATTAGCTACTATTTTGGTTGTTCACATTTGACAGTCGTATTTGTACTCTGTATTTGTTATCTTTTGCTGCTTAACAAATTATCCCAAAACTTAGCATCTTAAAACAATAAACATTTATTGTATCATATAGTTTCTGAAGGCCAGAAATTCAGGAGGAGCTTACCTGGGTGGCTCAGGCTCAGGTTATATGAGGTTGCAGCCAAGCTGTCAGCCAGAGTGGCAATCCTCTGAAGGCTCGACTGGGGCTGGAAAATCCACTCTGAGGCCCACTCATGTGGTTGTTGGCAGGACCCAGCTCCTTAGTAGCTGTTGGCTGGAGACTTTTGTTCCTCACCATGTCAGTCTCTCCATGACATGTCCTTATGCAGGGGCAGCTGGCTGCCCCCATAGCAAATGATGAAAGAGAAGAAGAGAGAGAGATCACAGAGGAAAGCCAGTGTCTTTTATATCCTAATCTCAGAGATGATATATCATCACTTCTGCCATATTCTGTTGGTCACACAGACCAAGCCTAGTACAGTATGAGAGGGAGTTACAAAAGAGTGTCAGTACTCAGAAACAGGGGTGGAGAGGGGCCATCCTGGAAACTGGCTACCATACACTTCATGTCCAGGAATCTGTTCATCATGGTATCATTGTAGGCATCCCCTAAGATAGTCAAAGCCATCATCCTTTAGGTGGCCGTGCCTGATAGCATGGTGATTCATAATGGGAATCCCGTGAATCTCATGTAATACCATTGAACTTCCCAGAGGGCAATATGGAGTCAAGGTAGGATTTTCTGCAAGTATAAATACTTACAGTCTATAAATGTAAAGGTGGTGACCACCTTCTCTCTTCTTGCTCTTCTGGCTAATGGTAGTCTGCAGACCTACTGGGAATGAAATCTGGTGCGCCTGTGAGACAGGCTATAGGTGGCCTCAGGAAAAGTGCCTCCAAAATCTCACTTGTCAAGAGCATGACAGGGTCCCTGCAGGGCATCACTGCGGTTGCCTTAAAGGATTACCTCCCAAGGGACCTTTCTGCCAGCTCCAAGGAGGTAAGTAACTGTTCATTAAATGATTCTTTGTTGAGTGGCTATTTGATATCAACTCAAGCAAATGTTTCTCTGTTCTGTGTGTATTCACCTGCTAACATGAGATTTTAAAATGTTGCCCTGCATTTTTTCAGCAGATGTTACCCTAAGAATGACAGTCAGACTCAATGTGGGCTTTCAAGAAGACCTCAAGAACACTTCCTCTGCTCTCTATAGGTCCTACAAGACTGACTTGGAAACAGCGGTAGGTTTTGGCCCTGGGAACCTCTTAACAAGCTTTGGGCTGAACTGAATCTGTTGCATTTATAGTGGATAAATTGCTTGACTTTGTCAGAATTTATGAATGTGGACATCAAAGTTATTCCTATACCTCTGGGATGATGAATTAAGAAGTGCTCAAATCAAACAGTGTTCGGGGGATGATTTGACATCATCTTGACCTATAGGTAGAACTTCTTCCCAGGGTAGAATTGATTCAGAGAAGATTTGGTGACATCAACTCACTGAATCCTATTCAAAGGCCCAAGAACCTGGTCTAGAAGTGCCTGATGGTGCATTTTTATTTGTTTTCACACACCACCTGGATGAAGCCCCTAACATCTTTTGGGCAGATCAGCCTAAGGCTGTTACTGAGGGTTTCAAACCATTCTATATTAAAAGTACCGAGGCATTCTCACTTATGACAGATTTAAATTTACTCATATAAAAATAGAGACTATCCCCTGGGTGTTAATTGTGTGCCAGACACTATTCTAAGTGCTTTACATTGGATTAATTCATCTGAGCCTAAATGCTTTGCTCGAATTAACTCATTTGGAGTAGAGCTTCCCAATTGGTGCTACAAATTATTACAGGTGGGCTGAAATAATGACTTCCCTTAGTTTTCTGGGCAGCCAAGCCCCTGCCTCAGGCCAGGAGTGCCTCCACTTACCCTTCTATACCACAGAAATTATTTTCATTTCCATGGGTGCCATGCTGAAATGCTGAAGAGCTCTTGGACATCTGATTTGCATATCTGGCATGTAATAGTTCTGCACAGCACAAGAAGCTTCCTTTCTCTCTCTCTCACACACACACACACACACACACACAGCACACTCAATTATATACCTTGGAGGAAAGAGAGAATGGCATATTAATCTTCAGATCCCACCCATCCATGTACCTGGCACAGTGCTCTGCACCTACAGTGCTTTGTGTATAACATCTGCCTGCAGATGTGACTTGAATCAAAATGAGTCTCCTGTGGATTGGTATTCAGAGAAACCTCCCCATTTTCTTTGCTAGGCATCTCCTTGAGTAAAATTTTTTGCACATGTAATCTGGTATTTGCTTCTTGGAGAACCCAGCCTGCAATAGGCAGACAGGAATTACTTCTTCAAAGATCTGCCTGTGCCAGCACTATTAAAATATATAGGAGAAGGGTTTAGCTGGGGTCATAAAGAATATGTGCTTTTTACTCAGCTTTAAATCTTTTGACTTATCTCTCACTGGACCTTGATACGATGACCCTTGTCTTACTTTGTTTTCCAGTTCTGGAAAGGTTACAGTATTTTACCAGGCTTCAAATTGGTGACTGTGACAGGGTTCAGGTAAGAAGCTGTAATCAGGGGGCGGCTAGGTGGCTCAGTTGGTTAAGCATCTGCCTTCAGCTCAGGTCATGATCCCAGGGTCCTGGGATCGAGCCCCGCATCAGGCTCCCTGCTCAGCAGGAAGCTGGCTTCTCCCTCTCCTTCTTCCACTCCCCCTGCTTGTGCTCTCGCTCTCTCTCCCAAATAAATAAATAAAATCTTGAAGAAAAAAAAAAGAAGCTGTAATCGGGTCATTTCTACCCAATGGCAGAGACCAATATGTTAGAGAAGGAGAAAAAGCCCATTAGGGGGCATCATGTGGGCACACAGCAGGAACACTTTGGTAGAAGTGAAGACAATACCAGGTTGCTGGGGCTTAAAGAGGGAGACAATGCTGAGAACAGAAACTTGCTCCCTAGAGATATACGTACTTAGATGGAAAGTGAGCAAAAGCCTTGTGTTTATTCTGTGCATGCAAGAATTTTGCAAACAGATACGGGGTAAGTTTGCAGTCTGGCGAGTTCTGAGTTATAAAAATGAAATAATGTCATGCATGATGCCTTTATTCAAGAGAAGTCGTCCGCCAGCCGCAAGCACACAGTTGCACGCTGCTGTGTGAATGGCTCCCCCTGGAGTTGGGCACCGTGGCGGCCGTGAGCGGGTTAGCACAGGGTTTCAAAAAGTTAGTTGCCAATTTTAAGAATAAAGAATGTTCAGAGAAACATTCAGGATTTTGGCTTCCCTTAACATTCAGCGTATCTGGTACCCCTGGGTCAGCATGGCCATGTGACAATAGTCTCTGCGTTGTGCCTGCCACCCTATGACCAGCTTCTGTGATTCACTCCACTTATTCCTGTCTGGCTGTTTTGTTCATTTATGTCACCTGTCTGCAGCTGTTTGAGTGTGTGAGCCCTGCCTCGGGCTTTCAACTAGAGCTTAATAACAGGTTGATTAGAGTGAACCCTTGAAGATAGAACTGCCCAGGCTGTTCCTGCCATTTTGTTTCTCCCATGCAAATACACCATAAGGATCTAGACTCTTCCAGGTCAGTCACTGCCTTACTGAACTGAGTGGTCTCCATCCAGGCCTGGAAGTGTGGTTGTGACGTATGAGGTCCAGACGACAACACCATCACCCGAATTAATGCATAAAGCAAACGAGCAAGTAATGCAGAACCTTAATCAGACCTACAAAATGGACTACAGCTCTTTTCAAGCAGTTACTAGCAGTAAGTAGGACCTCTGCACATTTTTCTTGTACATGGATTTTATTTAGATAAAGTAATGGTATTTATCATTATGCTTAAAACTAGGAAATTCCATTACAATGTCCTCCATGGACAGAGACTGTCTTGTTCCTGACACAGAGACTTATGTGCCCACCGCCCCCTCCCCATCTGAGGCACCAGTGCAGAGCCTCCCAACCAGGCTAATGTCACTGCAGTTGGAAGGGGGGGTTGAAGGGGAGAGAGATTTGACCAGAGGGTCACAGAGCCATCTGGGTTTATGGATTCTTAATAAAAAATTAGAAGGCCCCAAACATCCAAAAACTAACATGGAGGTGGGGGTTGGGATATTCATGAAATGCATTGATATTAAACAATTGATAATGTTATTTTAGAGCAGTAGTTCTTGAAGTGTGGCCCCCAGACCAACAGCATCAGCACCACCTGGAAACTTGTTAGAAAGATAGATTCTTAGGGCCACCCCAGACCAACCAGGGTGATCGGTGTTTCAACAAGCCCTCCAGGTGGTTCTGATGCACGGGAAAGTTTGAGAACCCCTGCTTGGGATCACATAGAGCAGTGATAAAATCCTGGGGTGTTAGATGTTCTCCCCCATTTTACAAATGGGTGCAGAGTTGTGTTCTGTTGTGTCATTAGGTGGGTGGACCTATTATTACTTGGGAAATAGCCAGCTGGGCAGAGATTTGGCAGGTAAGAATTTGCTGGTGGATGTTCTAGCTAACTCCAGTCCATGGTTCCGGACTCAAGGTGATTCCTCCTTGGAGTGACACTGTCCCCCAGCAGGGAGGCCCTGAAAGGACTGTTTCAGGCACACCTGGGAGAAAGGGCACCCCTTCTCAAGGGTTAAGCCATCCTTACAATAGGTTTATAAGTTTTGTCTTTACATTCTCTGGTATTGTTAGACACCAGATCATTTTTAAAAACAAAATATTGAAAGATACATACATAATTGTAAGAAGGTGCTATAACATAAGCAAGAGAAAAAGCAAAATAAAAATCCAGAATACATAAGACAGCAACACAGGTGAAAACTGGAAAATTAAAGAAAGGGGAGTAAGTGGCCTAAAAGTATGGGCTCCCATGGAAGGCACCCAGCGATACTACTCCCTCCTGACCCCCAACACCACCCCCAACCAACACGTTTTACCCCGAAAAATTCCTTATGTTTATGGTTCTGACGGCATAGGTGAACATCAGGCTCTAGCCTAGGTAAGCTTCGGTTATGATTACTCCTTCCCCCAAATTTCAGTTCTGTTGAGGATAGTCAACCATTTAAAGGAGCCAGTATCTAGCAGTGTTACTGATCAGCGGCTGACTGTTGGTTCAGAAACATGCTGCTGACAGTACGGTTCCCAAAAGTGCTTTGGAGTTTGTGGCTTATCCTTCCAAAGAGCAATGAAGTCATTGTGAATGGAGCTCAACACCATTTCTGCAGAGTGTCTGCATCCATCTCTGCAACCATCTCCTTGGAAGACCAGAATGATTCTGTGATATGCACAGCTTCCGAGCAATAAACAGGAACGTAGGTCATGTACATTTCCACGGGAGAGCTCCCGCATCATCCAGCTCTCCATAGCGTCACTGCTATTTACCTAGGGTATAAATATCCAAAAGGTCAAGAGACTGGGTTTTGTTTTGCTTTAATTATAATTATACTGGGGGGCAGAGAAGAGGAAGAGAACAAGAAAGAAAAAAAGCTGAATGAATGAGTTGGTATCAGAAAGTTATTTTAAATCTTTATGAAATACCAAGAACACAGGGCAATCAATGTTCAGAATATTTCCATTTATTTGGTTGTGTATTCATCCTCAAAATAATTAATGTTTGATTAATTAGCAGGGGCGCTTAACCAGAATGCCCCTTTCTTTCATCACTGCCCATAAATTCATGGTCAATTCCATATAACCACATGATACCCACGGTCTTACTAATCATTATTGTTAGCCACAGTGATGACAAAGAGACACATTGTTATTGTATCTTTTCTGTGTTAAGCCTAGCTTAACACAGAATTGTGTCCTCACATATCCTGTGAGATGGGTACTGTTATCTGCATTTTATAGGGAAGGAACTAGAAGAGGAGGGAGGGTAAATAATTTGCTCAAGAACACATAGTAAGCAACATAAGTCTGTATGACTTCTGAGTCAGTTCACTACGTTAAATATTCCCAGGAGGTCTTGTTTCTTAACAGTTGGGTGTGATATTTTAAAATCTTCTTTAATTCAGGAGCCTAAAAAAGGTGATAAGAAATATTTAGATCCCTTGGTACTTTGACTAGAACATCAGAGCTCCTGAAATTAATTTTAGGGTATTGTGATCCCATGTTGACAATATGGAGAGGGTCTGGCCTGAGCATGGAGCCCATGCAAAACAGCCCGCATAGAGCTTCCCTTACCCAGCACCTCTGATTTCCTCAATATGTGGAATTCATGAAGGATGTAGAATAAGAAACACAGCTTAAAGGGAAAAAACGCATGTTGTGTAAACAAAGGACAACCATAAACACAAAAAGCAAATGTGTTTTATTTCTATCTGTGAAATGACTTAATGCCATTGTTCTCCTGATTTGTACCATGAAAACTATCATAGCTACTATTCCCCCAAATCACCTCCCCGTGGCTCTCACTGCTCCTGTTTTCCAGACAATGAGCTGAGGCTCAGAGAGGCTAAGTAAATTCCCTAGGGCCACACAGCTGTGTGTGGCACAGAACCAGGATTCAAATCTGGACCTGTGTGTCTATAAAGTTCTCCTTCTTAAGGGCCCATGGGTATGAAGTCTTTAAAAAAAATTCTTAATTCTTAACAGACTTTATGTTAAGAAATTATTTTTCCCCATTTATAATTCACCAAAAACATACAACAGAGCTTTCAGTGGTATAAGATACCCATTATTGTCAAGAGGCGATTGATCTTATTGAGTCAGTAGCAAAGAAACTTGAGGTTTAAATGAGTTGGTGTGACTTTTTTATAAGCAAGTGAGCATTTTTCTACCAGACTATGTGAAATACTGAAAATAGCTTCGGAATCCACATCACTACCAATGAGTCCAATTGAGTGTGCTCAGACTCCAAACTGGAAGCCTTGTCCCCGGTATCTGGCAGGTGGCAACTCTTTGGGACTCCGACACCAGCTGTCTGGGGACAGAAGGAGGAAGATGCATTGCCTCCTTCTAGAAGCACTACAGCCCCATGTGGTGGGGGTGCCCGCTGGGTAGTCTCAATTCCATTCATTTGCTCTGGGATCTTAATACCTTTTCTTTGGGTTTCCAGATGAAACGAAGTTCACCATCATACCAGAAATCATTTTTGAAGGGGACACGGTAAATCTGGTGTGTGAAAACGAAGTTTTGTCCTCTAACGTGACCTGGCACCACGTCGAAAGGCACTCTGACTTGCAGAACAGCAGCAGATTCTCGGTTTACAGCGCCATGCTCAACAACGTGACCTCAGTATCGCACCTCACCATTTACAACATCACTCCGGGCGATGCAGGTGGGTTTCCATCCAAGAACGGGTGCGGGGAAAGGAGCAAAGAGCTCATAAAAGAAGCAAGCCTTGGAGTATATACATAGTGTTTTCCTCTTTGAAAAGAAGTCACTGGCCTCAACTTTTCAAAATTAAAAATGAATCCCATGGCATATGAGTAAGCAAATATAGCCTTGGAGACAAAAACAGATTTCCACATTTACCAAGGGCTTATGAGTTGGAAATGGAGACAAAAATCCGTCTTTTGTTTTTAATCTTTAAAAAATTTTAAACAGCTTTGTTGAGATAGAATTGACATGTAATAAGCTGTACATATTTAAAGGGTGCCGTTTAGTAAGTTTTGACATATGTGTGCACCTGTGAAACTACCACCCTCCTCAGGAGAGCGAACATATCTTTTCCATCACCCTCTGCGTGCAGTTTTCTTGGATTCCCTTGTAATCTCTCCCACCTCCCACTCTCCCTCCCCAACACCCACAGAAGCAGAAGCTTTAAACCTGACACTCTAGAATCTAATAACCCCATTGTAACCCAGGTGTCAGCAGGGGCATCTCTTTTTCCCTGACAGAGAAGTTGGGTTGCAGACACATGGGTCCTGTTACATCTTTGTGGATTCTGATTTTGCCGCAGAGTTAAATAGAATGCCAAAATCATCCATGACCTTCTAATTCTCCAAGGCTTTGCAATTTTTCCTTTCTACCTCTTCCATCACCACACCTTTTTTCTTATCAGCAAAGACTGAGATTTCTGCTCCTTCCCTGGAACATCTCTCTACTCATTAACTTGTGGCATCAGAAATGACCTGCATTGACCTTCCTGAATGTTTCTTTAGGGTTGTTTAGAGCAAGTCTTGGATGTTTTTGAAAACGATGCTTCGGGAAGTACTGTCACGACGCATGAGATGAGGCTATCATTCTTCTAAGGAATTCTATATATGTAATAAGAAAAAAATGCAACTGTAGGGGCACCTGGGTGGTGCGGTTGGTTGAGCATCCAACTCTTGGTTTTGGCTCCGGTCGTGATCTCGGGGTCTTGAGATGGAGCCCTGTGTCAGGCTCCGTGCTAGCAAGGAGTCTGCTGGAGATTCTCTTTCCCTCTCCCTCTGCACCCCCACCACCTGGCTCGTTCACTTGCTCTCTCTCTCTGAAATAAACAAATAAGTCTTTTTTTAAAAAAAATACATTTGTGTATTCTATGCAGGTGAATATATTTGCAAGCTGACATTAGATATTTTTGAATATGAGTCCAGAAAAAAAATAGATGTCACGCCCATCCGAATTTTGGCAACTGAAGAAATGAAGGTGACGTGCGACAACAATCCTGTATCTTTGAACTGCTGCAGTGAGATTAATGTTAATTGGAGCGCGATAGAATGGAAGCAGGAGGGGAAAATAAACATTCCAGGTAAGAATGTTAGATGCCCTTTTGCATATACGTTTTTGCCTCTTGGCCAAGTAAAAATGGGAGATGCACTGGGTGGGAGAGGAAATGTCAGATGGCTGTTTTTTCCCAAACTTCAGACTATAAAAACATAACTAGGCTTGATGCCAACTCCAACTTAGCTATTCTAGAATAACATTCCGAAAATATATGCATACAAATGTCATGCTTGGGTTGTAGACAAGATCCTGGCTGGGAAGATGTGATGACTTAGGTCCACAGTATCTCCTGCCTGTAGAAAAGCTGGCCCCCCACCTTCCTTCTCTCATCGTCTTCGAGGTCATTGGCTTTGCTTTGGAGTCTGACTCGGAACTTCTCTTTCTGTGTCTCTTCTCTTGGTGTCTGTCATTCTCACATCTCTGCCTCTGTCCTACATCCTTCTGTATTACCTAATTCTGTGTCTTTGTGGTTTTTGTCTTGTTTTGCTTTTTTATTTCTTGGTGTAGACCTGTTTGTCTCTCAATGGTTCCATGTCAATTTCTGATCTTGCTTAGCTTCCTTTTAGATCTGAGATATTACTGGAAATTCTCCAGCCCCCCCACTTATACTGATGAATGATAATAATAATAAATTAAAAGAGCAATACTGATTCTGTTTTGTATAACCGTCTATGATTAAGCAATGTTTTAAAAATATGTTATCACTCTTGATCACATTTAACCCTGATCGCAAGTTTGAAGCTGGCATTTTTTTCCTCCAATTTGCAAATAAGGAAATTGAGGTCTACACTGACTTATCTGAGGTTGTCAAAAAGGAAAAGAAAGAAAAAGAGAGACTCACCTCAGGTCTGATTATGCGAGACCAGTGTTTGCCTTGGCAAAACTATGTTAGCCATGCCTAAGGAACCAGTGCTGGTGCAGGCTGATCTGGAAATGTTTGTTCTGGAGCGGGAGACTTTTTTGTCTAGAAACTTCATGTAACAAGATCCAATCCTTCCCTTAAGAAATGACAGCTTTACGTGTTCATCTTTACACTAAAAAAATAATTAAAGTAAAATGTGGCTTTACTTGTGAAATACATCGGTGCGGTAAGGCTTTGTGGTACAGAGTCTTTGCTATCAGACTATATTAAGTTATAAAAAAAATAAAATAATGATTAATTTACGTGCAAGTTGTCCTGAGCCCATCTATTTGCAAAGCACATTTCACCTGCTGCATCAGTATTTTACTTTAAATGCTCCGAAGAATGGGAGAGGCATCTGGTAACTGTTGAAAATGTTGACACCCGATACGTTTAGTCACCGCCTTGATTTTTCAGGACGAGGAGGTGTAGGCACCCTGGAGAAGCTGCCAGATGGGAGAAAGACCTTGCAAATTTCCTTGGTATTGACTTAATGTGCTTTCAGCTCCAAGAGCTGAAAGCCTAGCCCTCTGGCAGAGGAACCAGGAAGTCTGCAGTACAGATGCTCAGGGACCTCTCTGTGGCCACCACTGCTTCAGACATTCCTAATGCCCAGTGCAGGTGACCCGGCTACAGAACAATGGATTTCCTGCCACAGGGCTGGCCGCCCGGGGACCCGCACCGTCCGTTCATTCTCTGATGAACTTAGCCTCTGCCCTCGGCACCTTGCCTTCCTCCTCCCCTTGCAGCCCCCACTCTGAAGCTCTCTCTCTCTCTCTCTCTCTCTCTCTCTCCAAATTCCACGATTCCTTTAGCACCCATTGTTCCAGATCAGTAGGAGACAATCTAGCAAAATAATTCACTCCAAAGCATGAGGAACTGAATGGACCACCTCCTCTCAGAAACAGACACATTTCCTTTTCAAAACACAAGGGATAAGACAGAGAGAAGGTAACCAGCAGTGGTAGGATTTCGAGCGTGAAGAGGGTGATCTTTTTCGAATAGGGAGGGGCTTCCTGGAGTGTTTCAACTCATCGGGGCAGCAGCTAATGATATAGATGGTAATGGTCTGAAATAATAGTATCAGTAGTAGTAATGGTAGAGGTGGTAATAGTTACTATTATTGGTGCAGCATCTCGCCTGCCTGGTGTAGTACTAGCTAGCTTCGCCTACGCGGAAGTGCATTGACAAACTGGGGGAAACTAACAGCAACAGTTTATAGTCTCACTGTAGCCTTTATGTGGTGTGATGATAAAAACTAATGGAGCCTTAATTCCCTCCTTGCCCACAAGTTAGAGCAGTTCCCAAATGAGTTCATAAACTTCTTTGTGGCCCTGCCTACCGCACTCCAGTGGCCCATGATCACACGGAGTATTCATAAAACAACTGAATGTCTACAAGAGGGGGCCAGCTCCCTCTTGGCTGTGACCTTGGGTGACAGGAGAGGGAACACCTTCAAACTCCGCGGTCCCCTTACTTGTGTCTTTTCTTCCTGATTGCCCCACTGAAATGTTTAAGCATATGTTACTGTGTGTGCCTGCGTGCTGTCTCAAATGCTTTTGTTTTGGTTGGGTTTGGTTTGGGTTTTTCTTGCAGCCAAACAGGGCATCAGTCAGATATAAAGAAGGGGAGACTGGCTGTTTTTCTTTACTGAGTAGAAATCAGCCTGTGGCTTTGGAGTCCCTTGTTGAAGTGCCCCTAGAGGCAGGCTGGCTTCGGGGTCTGAGGTGAACCCTAAGTAGAGAAGCAGCTGGAAGTGGTCCATAGCATCCTGAAGGCAGTGGTCTCCATCCTGGCTACACGTGAGGGTCACCCCAGGGGTTTATTAAACAGACCAGCTCTCAGGGCTCTACCCTAGAGCAACCACACCAGGATCTCTGTGTTAGGGCTCCAGGTGATGCGGTTTCAAGTGCGGTCCACGAGCCGACCGCCAAGAAAGAATTCTTGCGTAGTTTTTGGTGCTAAAATGTGGTTTTATTGAAGCACGGGGACAGGACCCCTGGGCAGGAATTGCTGCACTGTGGTTGTGAGCAGCACTTGATTATATACTTTGGAGTTGGGGGAAGTAAAGACAAAGGATGTTTCCGAAAGGATTTTCATATGTTAGAGAAGACTTACAGGATCCTGGACCCCTGACTATTGTCAAGCTAAGGTGGTTTTTTTCCCCTAGCAAGGCATTAACATTAAGATTGGGAGTTCCTGGAGGAAGGGTATACCCTGCCTGCCTCAAGTATTTGTCCATGGGCTGCAGGTTATACGGAAATCTAATTTTATCTGCATTTCTTTTGCCTTTGTTCTCCACATCACAGGCGGTGGCATATTTTCTTAAATTTCACAGTAGATTTTATTGGGCAGAGGGGCGTGAGGACGATGCATTTAGTCCAGCTCTTCATTGTACACATGAGACACTGAGGCTTTCTGTGCGCGGCCCAGGATCTCCCTGACAGGAGCTAGGGATGCCCCGCCCCAGCCTTGCTCTTTTTCCTCCTGGGTGTTTCTCTATGTGTTCCTCATGAGCCACGGCTAAATCCGATTTTAAATAGTGATTCCTCTACTTGTGGGAATGCCCACAGAATTGTATAAAAGAAAAAAAAAGAACTTGAGCCAAGTGCTCTCCAGGAAGACAATACTTAGTCCTGAAAAGCCACATCACGGCTCTGCCATGGGCATGCCCAGCTGGGTCACCTCACTGATCCCACTTTTGTCTGTTAAATAGTGATAATGGTACCCATTTTTGCAAAGCTTTTGTGGGGAGAAAAAAAACCATGATGATAAATGTAAACATTTAAGACAGAGTTGAATACACTGAGTCTGCCACAATAAAAAAAAAATAAAAAAGAAAAAGAAACATTTAAAAATTAAAGAAACAAACAAACCCATCTCCTCACTTTTCCTCAGTGTGGTGGCAAATCTTCTGTGGAGAGTATCTAGCCTTGAGAAGCGAACTTGTGATCACATGTCATCTCTTCTCCAGAAAGCCCAACACCAACTTACTAGCTGCATTCAGTACCTTCTAGAGCAGGACCCTGAGGGGCAGAGCCCCCAGGGTGCTGGGGTGCTGGGGTACTAGATGAAGTGCAACGTGAATGCTGCCAATCAGAGATCCTGCTTTTATTTTCTGAGTTTACCATCTCTTTGGACCCTTTCTGGACCTACAGGTGTCAGCCTCACAGAACAATTAGCCCCCCACTCCCCCCACCCCCACTGTTTGTCTCCTGAACAGCAAGCCACAGATTCTGTGCTTTTGTTTGAACCAGTGGTTTTCTGATTTCACTGTAGAAATCTTTCTTCAAGCAAAACCTCAGCCTCAGCACAAGTAACATTTGGGGGCTGGATAATTCTTTGCTGAGGGGAGCTGTTCTAGGCATTGTAGGATGTTTATTGGCATCCTTGGCCTCTGTTCACTAGATACCAGTAGAACCCCCACTTGTAACAATCAGAACTGTCTCTGAACAATGCCAAATGTCCCCCAGGAGGGCAAAACCACTCTAGTCGAGAACCGAAATCTGATATGCAAAGCAGGCCATAGCAGAGCCACTTGAGTTGTGAATGGGATTAGGGGCTTTTTACCCCCCGCTCCCCACCCAGCTCCAGCTCCCGAAGCAGGCTACTGGAACACCACATCCTCCAAGGGGTACTGATTCACACATACAACCGCACCCCAGAACACTCCAGCCACCATTTCTGTCTTTCAAGACCTAGAGGAAACCTCTGTTCTTCTCTGAAATCTTCCCTAGTCTCCCAAAGAAAACTCCCCTCCTTCAACCTCCATAATGTATTTAGTGGCTTAGAGGTTTCCTCTCTACTATGCATTATCATTTCCTCTGTATGTCTCTCTATATTATTCATTCTGAAAACTCATTGTCTTGCACATCAGTTTGACGGTAAAGCTGGGCCTCAAAAGATAAGTTAAGAAGTAAGCATCAACGGGAAGAAGGAAGGAGGCTTCTTTCTCCTTTCAATAATAATGGTCTAAATAATCTGACATCTTTTTTCCTTGCAGTTGAAATCATATCCAAACACCTTACTTCTCTCTCTCTCTTTTTTTTTAAATTTTTTATTTTTCCTGCCCCAGCGACCATCTCTAATGGTTTGTGTGAGGGGCTGGCCCAACCAGGTGCTGTTCTAAGTGTCTGTGTATCTTAACTCATTTGACCTGACTATGATCTGGGGTTGTAGCTATGATTAGTCGTCCCCATTTTCCATGTGGAGAAACTGAAGCACAGAGCAGTTGAGTGACTTTTTCAACCCTACCCCACTAGGAAGTGGTAGTTTGGGATCTGCAGCCAGGCCACCTCGGTCCCGAGTCTGCAGACCTAACCACCGTACAATCCTCCCTCTCCAAAGAGAAGAAATCAGGTTTAAATAATAACTCCTTTTCACTGATGGGACCTCTTTGCCCCTAAATCGAATAGTCAGCCAACTGTGACAGTGAAAGAACTACTTATGTCATTGCAGGCAACCCTGAAACTGACCTAGAGTCCGGCTGCAGCAGGTACACCCTCAGGGCGGACGGGACTCAGTGTCCCAGCGGGTCGGCTGGAACGACGGTCGTCTATGCGTGTGAGTTCGTCAGCAGCCACGGGGCCAGAGGCGGCAAGAACATAGAAGTGACATTCACCTCTGTGGGTAAGGACTCCTTCACTAGGATCTTTAGCCTTGCACCTCAAGCCAGGGCTGTCAATCCCCTGGGAATATCTCTGAGCTAGCGGGAGTGTGGTTGGGGGTCAATCACAAGTAGGCGACAGAGGGGGATGTCCCTCTCACCCATTTGAATTCAGAGGAAGCCTTTAGAAGAAAGAAGGATATAGGGCTGAGAACCCAGGGCTGCAGGGAAGGGAAGGTCCGCCTGGCACTGAGAAGGCACCCTTGGATTAGTTCTGTTTAAGCATTGAATTTATGTCGAGGGTGGTGCCCCAAATTTTCCCCTTTCCTCCCGTGATCGCATCCTCCCTTGCACGCCAGTAGCCTGGCGCATGGCCCATCACCAGCAGGCGAAGACCTGCTCTGCCCTCCCTCCGCTCCCACTCCACCTCTGCTGCAGGAAGCTTTAATAATCGGATACTTTGTGGTCATTTTACAGTTGCCTTGAGTGTTTTTTAGTCTTTTTGACTAAAGGCTTTCGACTGAGTTAAGCCTCTTTTCAAAAGTGTCATTTCTTCTCCTCATGTAATAAAACATTCTGACTTCACCCCTATCTGCAAAAATGGGACACCCACACGTGTTGTTTTTCTCCCCATCTTACAAAAAAATGAACTACTCAGGTCAATCATCTGACACCCTTGAACAATTTGGAGAAAGGCTCATGTCAACACTACTGATGACTCTTGCTCACCCTTGTTACTCTCGTGACTTAGCGTTTTTACAAAGATCAAGATGACGCTTATCTGAAAACATTATCGCCATAGACGAGCTAGTGGGTCTTTTGAGCAATTGGCAACTTTCTGTAGTGAGAGCAGTTGTACACTTCAGGTTTCGACTCAGAGTTGTGTTGATTAGGTAGGCTTTTGGTTGTCATAGAAACGTGTTTAGCCTTCACTGAAAACCACTGGTCTGGTAGTTTGGACCTCGTCTGAGAATCAAGAGGACCAGATTCAGGGTTCCATGAGCCTCTCCCTTTCCACTCTCAGAAACCGCCCAACCTTAGAAAGGCATCTCTACACCAGATCCCTACAGCCAGTGAGGCCCATGGGAGGGACACAGCAATCCATGCTTATGCGACCGGGGGACTGTATTTGGACATTGGGATCCCAGCTTCTAAGGGGCACTATGGAAAGGCCTGATTTCTTTTGGTTGTGACGAAGGGCAAGATTTTACACTGTTGGGAAAAGCAGGCTGACGTCAGTGGGCTCAAGGCATGAAACTGTTCACCCCTAGGAGATAAAAGGGGATGGCATTTTGAAAAGTCAATGGCATGCTCAAAGAGGGGTAGAAAGATAGAAGCAGGGGCCAGAAAAAGTGAACCTTACCTTTGTAAGGGTCTTGTTAACATTTTTGATGAATAATTCCTCATGAGTGTATGAGGACATTCTCATAAGGAGGAGTAAATGTAGAGAGACTTAGAGTTAAGGCGCCTATCCCTCCCAGTTTGCCTGAGACAGCCTGGTATAATTATTTGGGCAATACAGTCTACCATACCTGTACTTCAAATGTTGTTCCAGAAATCACTCTTCAGCTTAGTAAGTATTGATGTGTACTATAGTCAGTGCTAAGTCCTGGGGAATGCAAAGACACAGAAAAGAGAGTCCTGCTCTTGAGAGGTTCACATGTTTATGAAGAAGAGATATAGAAGGAGAGAAATTAAAATACAACATGGTATTATTTAAAACATGTTTTAAAAGAGTAGAGAATGGCGTTGTTACAAGAACAGAGCCATCTGGCACGGAAGAGGTTGGAGGGGAGCTTGGGTTAAGTCAACAGCCCTAAGTTTGCAACCTTTTGCCCTGCCGATCATCAGGAGATAATCCCAGCCACAAAGGGGAAGTGCACGAGTTCCCAAGGCAGGAGATGGAAATGAGTACAGTTGAGAGCATCACCGGGAACAGCGTAGAAACAAAGAAAACCCAGGAGCCGCAAGGTACCCATCCCACATTGACACCAGTGGAGTCAGGACGGCCCATGCTCTCTGCCTCTGTCTTAAATTTCACTCCTGTGTCGATGTCACCAGAAAGACTAAACCTTGTGCTTGTTGTTGGTTTTTCTTTTGTCCGTTCTGTGTGCGTTCTTTCAGCCAACCTAACAATAACCCCGGACCCAATTTCTGTTTCTGAGGGACAAAATTTTTCCATAAAGTGCATCAGCGATGTGAGTAACTATGATGAGGTGTACTGGAACACTTCTGCTGGAATTAAAATAAACCAAAAGTTTTATGCCACGAGGAGGTCTGCTGCTGGAGCAGAGTCGGTGCTGAGAGTGAAGATCGCAACCCGGGAATGGAATGGTGGGTGCGAGACCCCAGACCCTCTGCTGCCATGCTGCCCGGGGGCCCCTGGGAACACCCTGTAAGAGGGACCATCTCTGGAGGGGCTGGCCTGGGACGTGCCTGTGCCACCACACTTCATGCAAGAGCTCTTTAGGGGAAGGTGTCGCAATCTCCATTGTACAGATGTGGAAACAGAGGCTCAGAGAGAATAACAAATGCTCCCAGGCTCCTGCATCTCAAGGTGCAGAGTCAGGACTGGAACTGGGTTCTCCGATTCAAGAACCTGTGCTCTTGCCATGAAGTTAAGAGGATTGTTTTCCTCTTTATTTTTAAAGATGTATTTATTTATTTTAGAGAGAGAGAGAGAGCACAAGCGGGAGGGGCAGGGAATGGGAGAGAGAATCCCAAGCAGACTCCCCGCTGAGTGTGGAGTCCCACGCCAGGTTCGATCTCACGACCTGAGCCAAAACCAAGAGTCAGACACTTACCTAACTAAGCCACCCAGGCGCCCCAAGAGGATTATTTTTAAAAGTAGTTTTACCAGACTTTTAGGAGTTTTTCACCGAGTCGTGATATTAAAAAAATCTAGGTAAAGGATTTATATGCCTGGTTCCAAAGAAAGGAACACTTGTATTTCGTATTTATCTCTACACATTATTCATGTTGGAAAGAAATGCAAAGATTTGGAGGGAAAAGAAGGATTTGATAGAATTGCTGCAATAATAACTGACATGTATTGAGTCCTTCATATGTGATAGGCGTCATGCTAAGTGTTTGAGTGGGTTAGTTCATTTAAAACAATAAACCTAGAGGACAGTGTTATTAGTGTCCCCATTTTACAGATGAAGAAACTGAGGCCCAGTGAGGGTAAGTAAAATATCTGAGGTTATACACCTGGTAAATGGCAGAGCCAGGTTGAAATGGAGACTGTCTGGCCAACCCTTGACCACTCCACTCTGAAGGCTTTCCTTAACTGTAAGTTTAATCTGTCCAGGTCCTACAGTCCCAGGTCTTTATTTGTTCATATAAGGCCTAGGCAACATTGTAGAAATAAGTAGTCACTCTGTGGCTGGCTTCCGCTGGGGGCATTTTTAAAACCACATCTCTTGGTAGCATACAGTCAGAAGATGGAGTATTTTTCTCCTGTGCTGAGCTTACACCTACTCTGTCCAATTTCTCTTTCCTCCTGAGGAGCCATAACTGAGGAGGAGCCGTCACTTTTCCAGGAACATAAACTCTCTAATAGTCCCATACTCGGGCACTAAGAAAAATCCATTCTCATCTAAATTAACTACACTTTTATTTTATATTGAAGCTACATTTCCATTCCTCCCAACAGAAACAGAAGGAGGTTTGTTCTCTGTCCTTGTTCTACCTGTTTTCCCTCTGGCTAAGTTGCTGCTCTGGTTCTTCCAGAGTTGGGGCAAAGAGAAGGAATATAGAGAAAGTCAAAGGGTCTTACTCAACTGTAGGTGCTGTTATAATCTTCCTGTACTGTCCCCATGGCAGCTGCTCAGGTGGTGGCTCATCCTCCGATGGACCCTGGTATAAAGACCACTGGGATAAGGTCCTCTCTAGAAGCTCGACCCAAAGACCGTGCTCAGCCTACTCTGCCTCACCAGGCACGGGCTGCACAGGCTACTCTTGCTGAAGCCTTTCCTCTGTCCTCCAGAAAGGCCAGCCAGCCTCTTGCCTTTAGACTTTACTAGATGGGAGTCAGACATCAGATGTCCAACTCCAGGGTCCACAGGGGAAGCTTTCTCAAGGATTTCAGCCTACATCCTCCACACGCTTTGATGGTGCGATGGTGCCCGGGAACCGGAATGTCTACTCACTCACAGATGGAGTGAGGGAACATCTCACCACCACAGAGCTCCAGCTGGCTGGCAACTGTCTTCGAAGAACTCCTCAGCCTAGCACGCACCAAAATTCCAATTTTCCCCCCTGGGTTAATGAAAGAGCCTTGGAGTAGGTGTTGGGAACCTGGTTTGAAATGCAATTCCTGGGATGCCTGGCTGGCTCAGTTGGTAGAGCATGCAACTCTTGATCTTAAGAAAGAAATGCAATTCCACACCTAACAGGCTGTGTAACTTTAGATAAGCCACTTAATTTTATTTAGAAGTAAGTGAATATTTAGGCAATGGGTTAGTCCTTCAGATACATAGATAACCCAGAAGGAGAATTGATCAAACATGTTCTCGTCCAGTGTCCAAAAAGATGTGATGTGCCCTTGCCCATGCTTCACAGGGAAAAGTAAGCTTCTTCTTAAACTTCTTAGCTAATGCTTTTTGGGAGCAGTGATCACATTCTATCTCATTTTTATTTCCTTCCACACAGGAACCTATCATTGCGTATTTAGATATAAGAATTCGTACAGTGTCGCGACGAAAGATGTGACCGTTCACCCACTGCCTCTAGAGCCAGACATCATGGTGGATCCTCTGGAGGCTACAGTTCCATGCAAAGGTTCCCATCACTTCAGGTGCTGCATTGAGGAGGACGAAGACTACAAAGTAACTTTCCAAATGGATTCCTTATCCTTTCTTGCCGGTAAGACACTAATTGCTGTATTGTGAGGACATATTTCATTCATGTGGAGTCTTAAAATAGCGGTAAAGAGACATGAGGATTGCATCAGAGAGAGAATGTAACAGAGGGAACCTCGTGAACCTTTATTATCTTCTGTTTTGTTATGTGGCTGGTGGCTTGTTGGTTTGTGGCAGAATTTGAGGGTCTGTGAGGGTGGAGCCCATGGGTTTTAGTGGAAGCTGTCGAAGACAGTGTTAAGACATCTCCAGGCCTTCTGCTTCCTCAGTATATCAGGTATTCTGGTGGTCCCTCCCTCCATGCTATGAGTCAGCATACTATAAAAGCACCACAGAAATCCTTTTAAATGCACAGCTGAGCATCCAAGAAAGTGAGAGAAATACCCAAGGGCCAAAAACATAAAGAAAAAGAAAAATAGAAATGCTTTAGCTACTGCTAGGGCTTCTCTGAGGGCATCGGCCAGTATGAGAAACCCAGAATCTTGGGTTTTTTTCCTAAAGATTTTATTCACTTATTTGAGAGAGAGAGAGAGAGAGAGAGACAGAGCACAAGCAGGGGGAGGAGCAGAGGCAGAGGGAGAAGCAGACTCCCGGCTGAGCAGGGAGCCTGACATGGGATTCGCGCCCAGGACCCCAGGATCATGACCTGAGCCGAAGTCAGATGCTTAACTGACTGAGCCACCAGGCATCCCAGAACCTTGGGTTTTAAGGCTCTGAAGGGCATGAAAGAAAGGCCTTGCTCCCTATGCAGTGATTAAGGTACCCCATGTCACCAGCACAATGTCAGGACCCTCAAAGGGTGACATGCTCACTCAGGAAGAGGGTAAGTAGAAAAACAAAATTTGTCTGCCAGAGTTAAGAGCTTGGCCTCATCTCCAGGTGGACAAAAATTTCCCCAGAGAATTACCACTGTCCTGCCCTCACTCAGGTTTGGGTTTGAATTTATACTGCCTCCATGGCCCAGGAACTCCAAGCTGAGGAGTAACTAATGTAAAGTGGTCCATGAGTAGCACCCAATGGTACCTGGCCAGAAAAAAAAAAAAAAAAAATTCAAATCCTCTAAGGTAGAATGTTCCCTCAATCCAGATACCTCAGGATTCCTACAGATTAAGGTGAACCTAATATGAGCTCACAACTCCAAATCTCAACACAGAGACACCTTCATGAGGGATTTACAAGCTTATTCATTCTTTGAACAACCATTTGTGGGGACACACTCAATGCAAAACACCATAGTAGGCAATGAAAAGGGGACACAAGAGTTGGGGCCCATGTATTACTATCTAGCTGGAAGGGCTCATGTCATAAAGGATGATCCATGTAATGTTAAGTTTCCAAAATGAGCAATGCAGATCAAAAGAACACTGGAAGTTCAGAAAAGCAGGACCCAGTAGAGATGAGGATTTAGAGAAGGCTGGGTGATAGGATAGAGAATCCATCCCCGTACTGGAGTATTTAAGCATTTCAACATTCCATGTTTAACATGCATGCATCCAGGGCTCTGTATGTGCCAAATACTAAGCTAGGCATTGGGAGATACAATGATAAATAGGACCAGGTACCTTCTCTCCAAGACTTTATGGTCTGATGGAGGAGACAGACCCATAAAGAGGTGATGCTAAACCAATGAGGTGAAGGCAGGACAGGAGAAATGCACAGGGCATGATGAGATTTGGATTTGGGAGAGGGAGGAGAGGGGTGATGAAAGGCGTTCTGATTTTCCAAACTGTATGGGCACAGATTTGGAGTCATGAATGGTGGAGGTCAAGTTAGGCAAGCACCGTGTAAGTGTAGGCTGACTTACTTCTTGGCTGGGGGCATTTTTAAAACCGTATCAGAAATGAATATGGCACATGCCTTGGAAAAATTTGGACACATTATCCATAGTGGATCAGTTTAACAAAATGTGTGCTTTGGAGACTCATCTTGTGACTTGATTGTTTTAATAATTCTCAGAAAAAGAAGTCAAAGGAAAGCAAGTGTGTTACAAATACAATTTCATGGCAAGCTCAGTTTCCAGGTGTCCAAAAAAGCTGGACGTATTTTGTCACTTTACCAATGCTGCTAATAATTCAGTCCGGAGCTCATCTATGAAGCTTAACCTGGTTCCTGGTAAGAGCATTTGAAATTTTTTTTTAAATGTGATAGTCATGAGCAGGGATTCATTTATTCATTCACTCCCTCATTCATCCCTTCAATAAATAGATATTGAGCACCTTCATGTGGCAAGCCTTGGGCTAAGGGTAGAGGGTCTGGAAAACAACAACAATAACAACAACAACAACTAAGCCATGGGGATTAGCCTCAGGTATAGGGGAAAGGTGGGTGTGATAAAAAATGTGATCACATCTAATGTGGTCAGGGCTGAACTAGAGACCGTGTGGGCAGGCAGAAGAGGCTGCTGGGTTTCACTCTGCTGCTGATAGTGGGGAGGAAGTAATCAAGAAATTCTTGCAGATGAAACCCTATTTCTGCGGAGTCTGAGAGGCAAAGCACTGGACTGGGCAGTGCATAGTGTCTTTGTGGGGCTGAGACCCCTTTGAGGTTTCAGCCAAGGAAGGGTGTCCCCACTAGACAGGGCTACATGAAAAGAATCCATCTAAAAAGTAGGCAACCATCTTTCCCATCCTTTGTCATCACTGAGCCAATATCCCCCTGCATAATATTTTCAAGGTAGGAGGTCATGGTTTATGGCTCTTTCTGTAATAGCCCATGACCAAGAGCTCTCCTCAGGAGCAGCAGAGAGGCAAGTGAATAAAGGGTGGTCCTGGGCTTCCACCAGAAGCAAACCCCTCCCCCAGAAATCTTGTCTGTAATAGGACCTCTGATACCGGAAGGATTCATGGTTGCATCACAACTCATGTTTGGGTTTACTGAATGATTTGTGATATATGAGAATATGTGTTGGTAACTGAGCCCTGGACACCACGGTAGGAAGCAATTTAGAGTTCCTTGTCTCTCTGAGTTACTGTCCCCTGACTCTACCAAGAACACCTCTTCTGGAGGCAGCCAAGACCACTTCTTCACTGTCCCTCACGCCGCCATCTTCACCCATTTATCTTTGTTCTTCTCTTTCCTCATACCAGGTGTGATTCCTCTTCCTTTTCCTAGTAAGAATTTACTTACGTACTTAAGATTTTATACAATGATTGAGAACTCAATTAATGTTAAATTTGTAAGTTGGTGAGAAAGGGATCTTATCACCAGAGAATCAATGTCCCCTGGGGATCAGAGATTCTGCAACAAATGTCATTTTCCCATTCAGATCTGGCCTTGAATAGACATGAAATAGAGTCACCTCTAAGGGAAGCCAGAAGGAAGAAATGTTTACAAATATTGCTTAGAATATTCAGGTCATGGGTACCTGGAATTCCCACTATTAATCATATGTGTGAATTAAGGCAGTGCTTCTCAACCTTGGCTGCATGCTGGAATCACCGGGGAAAGTGAGAAACACAGCCAATGCCTAAATCCCAGCCTCAAGGGGTTCTTATTTGTTTGGGCTGGAGTAAACTAGGACATTGGTATTTTCTGAACTCCCCAGGTGATTCAAATATGCCGGAGTTGAGAATCCTTTGGATTAAGGCATTTTGTCCCTGAGATTCCTGGTAACCTGATTATCTCTTATCTGGATGAGCACACATTAAACTCTCATGATTTTTCCATGGGTTAGATTTTACAGGCAGCAGCAGAGAGAAGATTCTCAGGGATTAGGGGTGGGGATGAGGCATAGAGGAAATAAATTCTGTTAGGAAAAGCAAGTGCAGGTGAAAGTCAGATTTGTGTCGAGAGCACTAAAAGGGGCTTTGGAAAATCAGGCGTGAAAAAAAGAAAGTGGGTAACTCTGAAAAGATCATGGAAACTAAAGAGAAAAATAAATTCAAACAGCAACATTCTAGCTAGGCCAGACCCTATTTTGACTATCTTTTCTCCTCCTTTCAAATTGTCCCTTTTATTTCCGTGTTTCCAATGCAGGAGAGAAGATCATGTGCCGAGATCCCACAATAGGTGTTGGGGAGCCTGGGAAAGTCATCCAGAAACTATGCCAGTTCTCAAACGTACCCAGCAGCCCTGGAGGTCCCACTGGCGGGATCATGACTTACAAATGTGTAGGCTCCCACTGGGAGGTGAAGAAAAATGACTGCATCTCTGCCCCAATAAATAGTCTGCTCCAGCTGGCCAAGGTGATCCTTAAATCTTTGACTCCGAGCTCTTGGTGGGGAGATGGGTCTAGCTTATCTATATTTTTCAGCAAATGGGTCTCGGGCTGGTTTGTGTTGCTCCCAAAGCTACTTTTATTTGTTTATTTCCAAAGAAGATGCAATCCTAGAAATGCTTTACATTTTTCTTAAGTACAAATGTGGAGACAACAAAATATGTATTCTACTCTGGGACCAGCTGTATACCTTGACCTTGACTTCTCAGTGCCTTGTTCCTATTACCTCCAAGGTGCAGGTGGAATTATCTTCTCTTACCACTCTCCTTTGAATAATCTGGGTATCAAGCAAGTAGCTCTAATCTTTTTAGAAGGAGGAGATACATAAAAAATAAGGTTCACCAGGGCAAAATAAAAATATGCTTGGGCTTTATGCTTCTATAGGTCTGAGATTTCTTTCATCTTTAGAGGAAACCTTTAGTTATGAATGATGGTACTAGCCTGCCTCTCTTACCTAGAAGAGAGGTTCCTGCCACGTAGTAGGGGAAAATTCCTTTCTTTTCTTCGTGAAAATAAATAAATATTACCTCATACTTAAGTTGTCGAGAGTAGGGACTCCTAAAATGCCATGAGTTATAATAAATAAATACTGAAGAGGCAACTGGTAGACTTATAGTTAATGACATTGTTAGACAAGTGGTTCCAAATACTCTCACCCTTGGAAGAAGAATTAAGGGAAATGAGTGATATTGATTTGTGTCTCATCTAATTATCTTCTGTCTCTCCTCTTGTCTTACACTAAATTCATTAAGATACCTACTAGGTGCAAAGCATTATTGTAGTTGCTAGAGGACATAATCCAGTTGGGTAGTCCTATACACATTGATTTTGCTTAGGATAATCGGGAAGCTCTGCTTGAAAAACTTGGCCTCTGAGCTGGACCTGGATGAGGATGCATCAGTGATATGAATTTTCCTAATCGAGAAAGATAGGAATACTATAATTTGAATTCAACTCTGGGCCCTGGTCCCAATTCTAGATACCTAGATACATTTTCAATGGAAAGGGGTCCTGTTGGTCTATCAGATTTATCCATTCAACATGTATTTATTGAATACCTACTATGTGCCAATTTATGACTTATACTATGCTAGGCATTATACCGTATCAGATGGAATATAACATGTTTCAAATTGCTAAGGAGCTTATAATTTAATTGGAGAGATAATGAAATTAAAACACAAGCTGACATTGGTAGAAATGTCACAAATGTAAAGTATGTTAAATAACAAACACTTACAGGGGCGTCTGGGTGGTGCAGTCCATTAAGCATCTGACTCTTGGTTTTCGCTCTGGCCCTGATCTAAGGGTCGTAAGATTGAGCCCCACATTGGGCTCCACGCTGAGCACGAGTCTGCTTGAGATTCTCTCTCTCCCTTTGCCCCTCCAGCTTGTGCTCTCTCTCTCTCTCTCTAAGATAAATAAATAAATCTTTTTTTAAAAAAATAACAAACATTTAGGCAGTCAGAGGAAGAAACTCCCATGTGTTGGAATACTCGTTGAAGTTCTTTATGGAGGAGGTCGAATTGGAGTTCATTCTTTAATTTTAAGTAGGGGTTAGATAATTAGGAAACAGAAGTGTGATCACTATAGATAGGGTGACCATATAATTTACCATCCAAATCAGGACACATTTTGAAAATAAAAGAGGGTGCTAGTAATAATGACACTGGGCCAGCAGATATAAAGCAGAACTGTCCTGGGAAAATTGGGATGGGGAGTCACCCCTCTAAGGGTCGGCAAAGTAAGTGATGAGAAAAAGCAGAGTAGCAAATGTGCTTCCATACAGACCACCAAAGGATAATTTTACTCAATTTTAATCTAGTTCTCTAGGAATCACATCTCCTTTCCTTTTTCTTTAACTAGCCGTCAGATTGACGTGTGTTTTACTATTCCCCTTCTACGCGTGAGGTCTTATTCTATTCTGAAGAGCACACAGATTAAATGAAGAGAGAAGTTATCTTATAGGATATATTTATAGGAGTGGAGAAAAAAAAGAAACCACAGATGTAAGAAATTTTCATCATGGGTAGATCAACAGGATTTGATGACGGGACTGACTGGCAAGTTTTTTGTTTGTCTGTTTGTGTTGGCTTTTGTTTTCCTAGGATTTGATCAAGAGCCCCTGTCAGGATACGAAGCTTCCCACATACCTGAAGGATCTTTCTGTCAGCACAGGCAAGGTGAAACATGAAGTCAGCTCATTTCCTGGGAGCCTGGGAGCCATCATTAACATCCTGGATTTGCTCTCAACAGTTCCAACCCAAGTGAATTCAGAAATGATGACGGTGAGTTGGTTTAGACCTTACAGGAGCTTTGGGTCTCCTCTTTTCACTCGTTGGGACTTGTAGTCAAGAAACGTAACTCGTCCCCATTGCAGCTCCTTCTTTGTCTTCTCTAGAGCAATACTCTGGATTTTAGGGTCACATAGCATGCTTTGTGCTTTGTTAGCTATGGCTTTTAAGGTCACAGGGGGTGTTTCTAGTATTCATTTGGGGATCTTAAAAAGATATCTTTAGTGAATCTCCATCTTAGTTTCTTCATTAAAGTAGAATGTATTCTTACCTGCTTTCTAAGAAAACTAGGAATGAAAGGTTTTCAGAATATGTATAAGGTGGGATTCTCAGTGGTCTAGCACTAAGCATGAACTCTGAGGCACTCAGCGTTCTGAGTGGAATCACCCAGAATTCAAATGAAGAGTTCAAATGATGAGACTTTAATGAAAGGATATTTACAGAGGTCAAGCCAGGGATAAAAAAGAAAAAAAAAAATAGAAGCCAGTACTACCCCGAGGACTAAAGGGGAAAGGAGAGGAAAGAGTGTACCTACAGCAGAGGGAGAATGAAGCCTTGGAAGAGGGATTGCTGGCAGGAGCAACAGAACTATCACCAAAGATGTGCTGAAGATGGTATCTGGGTATAGGGGGTGAGGGGATGACTGCGGTGGGTCGTAGGAAAATATATTTCAACTTCTTTCTTCTCCCACCCTCTCATCTCCTGCCAATGCTTCCCAGCGGCCAAACACAGGCAGAGGCTTCTGGCAAGCAGCTTGGGGAACAAGGGTCCAAGGAGGTTATGTGGACCTCCTATGGCGAGTGTAACAGATTCCCATACTGTGGGTGGCTTACGATGACAGGAACTTATTCTCTCATGGTTCTCAAAGCTAGAAGTCTGAAATCAAGGTGTCTGCCAGACCACGTTCCTTCCCAGGTCTCCAGGGGAGACTTTCTCTGCCTCGTCCAGCTCCATGTAGTTCCAGCACTCCTTGGCTTGTGGCTGCCTCAGTACACTCTCTGCCTTTGTCTTCACGTGGCCTCCTCCTCTCCATTGATCTTCTCCTCTTCTGTCCCTCATAAGGATACTTGACATTGGATTTAGGGCCCACCTACGTAATCTGGGATGATTTCCTCTCAAGATCCTTAACTTAATTACAACTACAAAGACCTTTTCTCAAAATAAGGTCACATTCACATGGTCTGGGTATTAGGACATGTTCTTTTGGGGACCACCATTCAACAAACTACAAGGCTCATAGTTTCAGATTGAACAGAACAAGGCAAAGGAGCCCAAATGGAAAATGACAAGCCCAAGTTTATGGGAGAGAAAATCAAAATGTTTAGCAAAAAGAATGATGCCTTTGCCAGCAATTTGGTGTTCAGCATTAGAGAGGGTCTTTTGAAACAACTTCACCCTTGCTGGTAAAATATCACTCTTTACAGGCTTGAGATTTAAAATAAAATAAAACAGTGAATACATATCTCTACCAGCCTGCTGAATTGGCCTTAGTGGGCGGTGGTGCGGGGGGGTGGGGGGCGGGATGCGTGGTACTTGGTCAATGTTTGATGAGGTCTTGTAGCCTTGGGGACGCATCCTCTGCTAACTCCCTGCCGTCAGAAGGAGGGACACAGATCCCCATAGCCTGTGATGCCTCATTTTTCTCTTCTCTTTCCCTCTTACCCATGCAACCAGTTTCTGGGGAGATGTTACTTTTTCTCTCTTTTATGATTGAAAGAATTTGGTTGGTTTGACCCCATGCCATGTCAATTACAGAATGTTCTCTCTACGGTTAACACCATCCTCAGCAAGCCCATGTTGAGTACCTGGCAGGTGTTCCAACAGCAACAGACCAACCAGAGCTCACAGCTCCTGGATTCAGTAGAAAGATTTTCCCGAACATTACGGTCTGAAGATAGCACTTTTTTGTCTATCAACCAAACGAATGTGCAGATGAGGAGCATGGTAATAAAACCTGGCCCTCCAAAAACCTACAAACAGAGCTTTGTTTTCTCGGACTCGGACCTCTGGGGCAATGTGGCCATTGACAAGTGTGAGCTGGGAAGTCTGCAGTGGGGTTCGTCTATTGTCACTGTGGCTTTCCCAACTCTCAAAACCATCCTCACTCAGGATGGGCAAGGAAAGAACATTGCGAACAGCTTAGTGATGACAACTACTGTTAGCCACAATATAACCCTGCCATTCCGGATTTCGATGACTTTTAAGAACATCAACCCTTCAGGTGGGGTACCACAATGTGTCTTCTGGAATTTCAACCTTGCCAACTACACAGGGGGGTGGGATAGTAGTGGGTGTTATGTGAACAGAGTCGATGGGGACAGTGTCTCCTGCATCTGTGACCACCTCACATCATTCTCCATCCTCATGTCCCCTGACTCTCCATACCCTGGTTCCCTCCTGGAAATACTACTGGATATCATTTCCTACATTGGGTTGTGCTTTTCCATCTTGAGCTTAGCAGCCTGTCTAGTGGTGGAAGCCGTGGTGTGGAAATCCGTGACCAAGAATCGGACTTCCTATATGCGCCACATCTGCATAGTGAACATTGCCGCCTCCCTTCTGGTGGCCGACATCTGGTTCATTGTGGCCGCTGCCATCCACGACCATTTTTACCCTCTCAACGAGACAGCCTGTGTGGCCGCCACCTTCTTCATCCACTTCTTCTACCTCAGCGTCTTTTTCTGGATGCTGACTCTGGGCCTCATGCTCTTCTACCGCCTGGTTTTCATTCTGCATGACACAAGCAAGTCCATTCAGAAGACGATTGCATTTTCTCTTGGCTATGGCTGCCCTCTTGTCATCTCAGTCATCACAGTGGGGGCCACCCAGCCCCAAGAAGTCTACACCAGGAAGAATGCCTGCTGGCTCAACTGGGAGGATACCAAGGCCCTGCTGGCCTTCGTCATCCCAGCGCTGATCATCGTGGTAGTGAACATGACCATCACAGTTGTGGTCATCTCCAAGATCCTGAGACCTTCCGTTGGAGACAAGCCAAGCAAGCAGGAGAAGAGTAGCCTGTTTCAGATCAGCAAGAGCATTGGGGTCCTCACGCCACTCTTGGGGCTCACCTGGGGTTTTGGCCTTGCCACTGTGTTCCAAGGAAGCAATGCTGTGTTCCATATTATATTTACGCTTCTCAATGCCTTTCAGGTAAGTTCTGCAGGGCAGGGTTCTCAGGAAGTATTTGAACTGGTGGGACAAATTAATGATAGAAACACAAACAGGGGTAGGAATGGGGAAGGATTTTAGTTCAGAGGAGGCCCTAGCCCTAAAGAGGGGGAATTACAAGAACCCAGTGAGATAGAAGGGACACATTCCTCTGCTGCCATGGAAACTCATACCTCTTATCACCTGCATTATAATTTAGCTGCATGCATGAGTCACTTTGAAAGGCCCTGATAATACAAGTAAGAGGAAAGTCCCTTCCCTACACAGGATTTTGCTATTTACCCAACATTATCATGATGCCACCTATTATCTCCTAAATGAAAACACCACTATTAAACCACGTCATTTCTCCACTTAATTTCCACAAGCATTAAATGAGCTCTATCTTTGTGAATTCAGGGATAGCATTTGTCTTCCTTACCACTCTATCCCTAATAGTACCTAAAACAGACTTTGGCACAGAGTAGGTGCTCGATAACCAGCTGGTAAGTAAAATGAATGCCATGAACCACACAGTATGTTCTCTAGAAACATTTGCTGAAGAATGAGAGAAAGAATGCCCTACGTAAGGTAGACATTCTGCTCTATTTTACTAAAATGAAAAAGACACACTCGTTGTTCTCTTTAGCACATAACGAACTATAATACAAGCCACATTGTTAGAAGAGCTTTAGCAGAGGTACAGGCAGCAAGGAAGGGAATGCTTAATTCTGATTCAACCAGCAGGTGGGTGGTAAGCATGGGCTCCCATGAACTGGCAAGGAGGAGAAATTGAGACACGGTCCCAGATGCTCATGCCAAGGCCACACAAATCCTAACTTCTGCTACTGGGTCCATGGCTTCAAACTATAAGGCTCATGCCTAATGAAGTGTATAGCATGACTTGACTACAAGGGACTGGTTATTTCACCCCAGGCCCTAGGTTCTCATCACAATGACGTGAGCACTACTGTAGACAGAAGAGGTGCCTTCAACAGCTCAACCAGCAGGCCCTCCAGTCCACGAGGAGGCAGGGATAAGGAAATAGAATAATATCCTTCTCACATGATAACATTTAAGGCCCCCTGGTGTGGACCTCCTGCATTCCTTTTAACATTATTATCCCCTGGACTCATTCCATAAATACAGATATGGGAGAGGTAGTACAAATTCAATGCCTGATTAACAATACTTCTTGGTTTGTTGGGCAACAGAATGTGAATAAAATGTCCTTCTTCCCAATTCTTTTTTTCAGGGATTATTCATTTTACTCTTTGGATGCCTCTGGGATCAGAAGGTAAGAACAATGACAGCTTCATGCTTCTAGAACAGTCGACAGTGCTTGTGGCATATTGAACTTACGATGGCTTCTTTTAAACAATTGTAGGTCCAGGAAGCCTTGCTAAAGAAGTTTTCACTGTCAAGATGGTCTTCGCAGCACTCAAAGGTCAGTCTTTCTTTTGTAGAGATTTTTGAAAACCCCTCTCTCTCCACACCCAGGTTCAGCATAGATTATTATTCCACTGTTTTTGCTTTGTACTTGATTCTGCCTATTAAAGTCAGCCACAGAACTTCCATTAAGATGCCGTCCCACATCTTTAAATAGGGATCAGATAGCACAGATAATACCATTTGGAGGCCAAAAACCAAAATTCAAGGGAAAACAAGAAATCTTCTGGGGAAATTTAAGGCACTAGAGAACACAACGTGAGGAATAACGATGAATAGATTTTCTGTAGTTCATTTTGGAAAATAACTATTGTGCTCAAACATATTTGACTACCATCACATGTCAGAAGATATCAAACCCTACTGAACAGTGAAACATGTATTTGAAAGTTATTTTCCTAAATCCGATGAGCGTCCAGCATCTCAAAGTGGCTCTCCTACTTGATTTGTTTGAAGTAGAAATTCACGCTCCACCAGGCTCTCACTTTCAAGTGGACTGAGAGATGCAGGCAGTGAGTAGAGGGCAGGAAATGCATCATCCTAGAAATAAAACAGCGCTTTGGCTTAACATTTGCTTTGTAACTGTCTTTCTTCTCTTTTATAGTCAACATCCCTAGGTTCATCGACACCCGTATTTTCTATGAGTTCTCCAATATCAAGAAGATTTAACAATTTGTTTGGTAAAACAGGTACGTAGTGACTTCTAGGTCCCTCCCTAGAGCACTTACTTTGGGTTGACTCAAACAAATTTGCCCTGATGGGGGATCTCACACCCCTACCTTCCCACTCTCCCCTTTAAGGTATTTACCAACAGTAGCCTCATTTGGGTCAGAGGTTAAATACAGGAGCTTGCTTACATTTTCCCAAACCAGCAGGAGGCTGGTACAGAGGGCAACTGCCTTTGGTGGGCAACTAATAATAACTTAAGAAGGATAAGATTTGGAGAATCTAGGCAAGCCTCTGGAGAGCTATCTATCAAAACTGTATCAACTACAAAAATGAGAACTGTAAATTGCTGGCCTTGTCAAACACAGAGTTTTTTGCTATTCATGTTTTTTTTTTTTTTTAGATTTTATTTATTTATTTTTGAGAGAGACAGAGAGAGAGTATACAAGCGGGGAAGGAGCGGCAGGCAGAGGGAGAAGCAGGCTCCCTGCTGCGGGACTTGAACCCAGGACCCTGAGATCATGACCTGAGCTGAAGGCAGACGCTTAACTGACTGAGCCACCCAGGCACCCTCTTTGCTATTCAAGTTAAATAGGAATAGGAAGGTCATGTTTATGGATTAAGGTGTAGCAAAAAAAAAAAAAGATTTAGAAAGCTCTACTATAGGATCACATGCTATGGGTTTCTTTCCCCCTTTTTTTTCTTTCCTCTTTCTTTCTTTCTTTCTTCTTTCTATTTCTTTCTTTCTTTCTTTCTTTCTTTCTTTCTTTCTTTCTTTCTTTCTTTCTTTTTTTTAGTGTGCTTGTGGTACACATTGATATTTATAAAACTGTGCATATATATGGGAGGAATCACCCAAGTTATCCATTCTATTAGGAACATGCACAACTAAATCGCTACCTTGGAGGTATAAAATAAATAATGTTAATGACTTTGGGCAATGGGTCTCAGCTAACCTGGCAAGTTGAAACCTCTTCCCACCATCCCTCCACCCCCAGGAAAATAAGCACCAGAATTGCTTCCAGCTTCTTGACAATGAACAGATCTCACAAAGGCAGAATCTAGAAATGTGTCAATATTCCAGAATAAGGCTTTTCCTATAAAATCAAATTTGGAGAATGCCTATCAATTGTTAAAACTCCAAAGGACTTGGTGTCTGGGGCTTCGATTTGATGCATTACTCATGAAAGTGGAGGGTCTCTTCTTTTGCCTTGAAACGTCCCTGATTGGGCCTGCTGTGAAATGATCCAACTTTCAGGGTATGGTACTACCATGGCACTTGGCCGGCATGTCACTAGAATGTTCTGACCATTTGCATCCAAGTGAAAACTCTACAAACTGAGTCTACGGAATCAGAATTACCCAATCTAAGGGCAATAAAATGGGTTCTTTGTTTCTGAGTCAGTCCAATTGAAGTTGGAGTTAGGGCTCTGCTCCTGAGGTCCCAGGGCCTGAGATTCCCAGTCACTGCCATTTGATGGCCTCTTGAGGGTCATTAATGAGGCTCCGTGTTGGCCTGCTTGAGGTCCCATAATCACTGTAACTTTGGTTTATGTTGTCAGCAGCCCCAAAGGGCCCCCCAGGCAGTGATGGAAACCTTGTTAGCAGTGGCAGCTCACCAATCTGATGGTAGGGTGGGCACTGTGTCCCTTCCTCGCCCAGCACCCCACCCCCACTTGCCCCGTGCTCAGTCCCTGCCTCCTGCTGATACCGGCCCCTGTGGTTGCTCCGTGGCTGCCCTGCCCCCGCCCCCGCCCTGCACCTTCGTTGGCATCTCCTGACCTCTGCTTCTTTCCCGGTCCTGCCTTTTCTTCCCCGGTCCTGCCTTTTCTTCCCCTGTATTGTACTCCTTTCTTTCCTTTTCCCCCTTTCCTCCCCTCGCCTTCCAGCTCAGCCTCTGGGCCCCTCCCAGGAGCTTCCACCAAGTCACGCCCACCCAAGGGGACCAGGGAGCTTCCCTCACGCCGTCCCCAGGCCCGTGCATGTGGTGGCATGTGGAGGGCTGCCCGTGTTCACCTTCTCCCTGCCCTGTGTAGAAACCCGGCTGCTGGTTTGATGGGAAGTAGTTAGTGCTTGTCTTGTCGGCTGCCACGCATGCTTGAGAACGACGGCTTTGTTTGTTCTCTGGCCTTTCTGGGTCTTGGGAGCGGGGCAGGCATGGGTTTGTTTCCAGGCGTGGCTGAGCTTATCTGGCTCTCGAGCGAGAGCCCCCCCCCCCAATTCGGGGCCACATCACGAGAGGGGCACGCCACAGTGATCGTGAAGTCTTGCACGTAAGCCTGAGCTGCTGTTCTGTTTTTCAGGAACGTACAATGTTTCCACCCCAGAAGCAACCAGCTCATCCCTCGAAAACACATCCAGTGCTTACTCCTTGCTCAACTAAGAACAAGAAAAACGACCTATGTGACTTCTTTAAGGGACAGTGGATATGCTCGGAAAAAAAAAAAAAATCCTTTCAAAGCCGAGGGTAAAATGTTTTCTCTGCAGGCTTCCTGGAGCAGATGCTGAAGAGCCTCTTTCATTAGGGAAAAGAAGCTTTCTTTCATAAAGACAGACTAAACATAATTGTTAAGTTTATTTGCATCCCCACCCCCCCACCTCTTGTGTGATACTAAATGTGTACAGTATTTAAGTGAGATTCAAGTCCCCAGAGGCCCAAATTCCCTGTCTATATTGTAAAATAGAATTTCAAAGAGATATTTTTACTTTTCACACGTTGGGCACAAAAATAAGCTTTGATTAAAATAATAAGCACAAGCCTAGTACCGAGGAAATACTTCAGTGAACTCTCAGAAGGAAGGAAGGAAGGAAAGAAGGAAGGACACAGGAAAAAAGAAAACTACAGAGAAAAACAATAAGAACCACATTTTAAAAATTTCCATGTTAACGTAATTATTCTGATACTGCAACATGGAGAATACAAAAATGGCTCAAAAACGGAAACTGAAATAAATCATGGAGAAAGTTTGGTATTTTCTTGTTATTTTCTTAGCTACAGGAGAAAATTTTCTTAGAAAGGCAGTGGGAAGAGATTGGGAGGAAATTGTAACATCAGGATGCTTTCAAGTGGATAATAATATTTACAAGAAATTCATGGAAGGAGATGTAATTCTCCTGATGCTAAACACACATACACATATGCTGGTGCACATGAAGTTTTGAGCTCAGGGGAGGGAGCAGGCAGAGGAAATGGGATAGCCATGCTTTATCAGATCTAAGCAGATCCAACTGCTAGTTACATTTTTTACCGTTTATCGGAAAAGCCTTATCTTTTGGTTTGTTCCACTTTTTGAAGGCAAAAAATATATGTATTTTTATATGCATCACTTGCCAAATGTGACATAAGGTGATATGAATGTGATATATTGTACTGGAAACAGATCCCGACTGTCGTGTATTGTATTTAACAGCTTTAACCAGGTACTTCCCTGTGCATTAGAATAGATTTTCATAATCTTATGGCGTTGTTTATCATTGTTGTTGCTACTGTGGATTTAGTGGCCCTTGGTGTGTGGTCTAGCTCCCTATGTATTAGCTCTTTCAGTCCTTAAGTTCCAAGACCAATATACGGTAAGAGTTTTGTATTGTCTAATTTGTGTTTATTCCAACCACTTGGAAATCTTCTGAAATGAAATGTTACAGTTGGCTACTCTATGCTCCCAATGACACTTGACCTTGATGAGCAGATGGTGGAGCTTTCCCTGAGGATTTGGTTGTCTGTGAATTATGTGCATGTGTGTGTGTTGTTTGTGGTGTGTGCATTTCATAAAAATACAAATATTTATTAAAATTGCATCCATATTAAAGTTAAGCATGTGCTGTAGCCACAGCAACCATACAATCCAAATTGAAGTCTGATCCCACAGAGTGAAATGGAATAAAAATGTGGGGCTACTTGAGGAATGTGGGCCGTGGGGTCTTCGTAAGGACTGAGAACCAGCAGGATCCAACCATCAGGAAGGTGGGACAGACGAGGCTGCAATGTAGCAACCTTTTATTTATTGAGTTTCAAAAGAGTTTTCTTTCGCTATTTTAACTCTTTAACCTCCCTTCTTTTTATTTTTAATTTTAAATTCTACTTCTGCCCCTTTTTTCTTCAGGGGGAGACACAGGTGGGGCAGATAGAAGTCCTAATAGTGTTTCAAGTAAATGCGCTCTTCGTTTCTACACGTTCACAAACAACGTAGACATCTACTCCCACGCTTGCCAGGAAATTGTCACAAAGGAAATGATTAAGCTATAAAATTCCCCAAGGATGGTCAGCTTTGGGCAGAACTCAGTACCGAGGAGACAGAGCCAGAGGCTAGGTTGGAAGATAAATGGGTTGAGAATTAGAGGTTCGAGAGAGAATGGCTTTGACCAATCTGATTCCCGGAGTAATCTCAGGGATAACAGAGGCAAGGTTATATAGTACAATGTGTGAGCCTGGCCATCGTGACATGATGGGCCAAAGAAAGCATAGCACCCAGCAGGGGCTCCAAAACAACAATGGGACAAGGAACATTGAACTTCCAGCCACAACAGTAGGGGTCCTTTGGGAACCATTGTGTTGTGAAGGCAACCTCTATAATGGCAGGAACCTTCGCAGCGTTCATAGGATGTGGATTTGGCCCTTTGCCCATGTGCATTAACTGAGGCACGTTCCCTTACCCCCAGCACACACACATACACACATATGTGTGCACGTGCTTTCTAGCTTTCAAGCCACAACACCAGATCCAAATTCCAGAAAACCTATGAAAACAAAAACTTAGAGACATACTTGCTGGTGTTCTGCTCAACTGCAAGATACATGGTTCAACCACTGCTGTTTGCCAAGAATATCTTAAAATAAACAATAGAATTCAATATTGTAAAAGAGAGTGGTCCATGAATCTGTGAGCTCCGTGAAAGCAGGAACCCTGCCTGGTCCTGTGTTCACTAGTTCTCAATCAACAATGATTGCAAGGCTTTTAGCAGCCGATTTCTGAGGAAGAGGAGGAAGGAATGTCAGCTCTGATGTTGGTACAAAGTGAGATGTGTGGTCTGCCCTGCTTGCAAAGTGCCCAGGACTTCCCCATGTGCCTGACCTCTCAGTGGGTAAAGTCAGTTCCATGGGCCAAAACTTAACTTGCACTAAGGGCCTTCTATTAAGTCAGTTTCTTGCAAAGGGATCTGTGCTAATGCTTCAGAGCTTGTGAGGTGAGAGCATTCACAAAGGAGCAATTAATCTAAGCTACAGAAATATTCTCTGGGAATACTGTTAAGTCCAGTGTAACACACCATGTCCTGAAGGAGTCATGTCTGCCACCCTCCTCCCCATTTCTTATATATGGAGAAAGAGGTAAATAAAGACCCATGGGGTTTTCAGGATACAAGCTGCTAAGGCCAGAAATTAAGAAACACTAGGAAATCCTAGCCTTTTGTAGTTTGTGTAGAGAACTTCAGAGAGATCGGTGTTGGAAGGTCAAAAAAAAAAAAAAAGTGACATGGGGATGAGAAAGATCATAGCGACCAGGAAGTGCAGACGCAGGGCAGGGAGTTATTTGGGGTGAGAGGAGCAGAAAGTCACAACCATTGGGGAAGACAAAAGGAAACAAGCATGGTCCCAGAAATCCAGTGTAGATGGAATGCATTTGATTTGTGGCACGTGAAGGTGATGTCAGACAGAATTCCAAAGGGAGCCGTGACCCAGGCCAATGGAAGTCTGATTCCCTGAGTGTCCAAAATAAAGGAGGGGTTACGGTGGATGTTATCTTTCTTAGGTATTTTTTAAAAAGTCAATGAAAATAGTGTCTCATCATTTGAAAGACTAGTTAGCTTTGGAATGAGATGCTATAGGTTTCTAACAGTATGACTTGGGATATTAAATCATGTCATAAGAGTATGCCAGCGTACAGCTCTGTGTCCTATCCATGCTTATAACAATAAAATATCTAGCGAGATCTCATGAAGCTTTCTTTATATAAATTGTCTGCTCTTTTGTAAATAGGCCAGCACTGCTCTTTTAGGCTTCCTGACCAGAAATCCAACCAGCATTTAATGCCATTCCCCACACAGCAAATGGTGGCTTCTGTTCTCCAGGTGTGGTGGGGGCGGGGGTACCAGAAGCTCCCGGCTGAGCTCAGTTGGCTGAGGGCACTGATGTCTTTCCTCACACCATCCACACTCCCATGCCGCATGCGAAACCTGGAAGCTTACAGAGGGTTGAAACGAGGGACCTTGAAGCAATGCTTTCAGGACCTAACTGTCTGGGAAACAAATAAACAAATATCTTTTCGAAACATTTGGTGTGGCTTGGTTGGAATTTTCACAGACGGCTGAAAACAGAGCCCTGTGAGTTCTGTTAGCAACAGATTATTTCTGCAACGTGGGCCCATATTTCCTGTTTTCATATTCTATGGCTGAGTAACATGTTACCACGAACTTAGAGGCTTAACACTGCACCCACTTATGAGCGCACGGTTTCTGGGGTCAGAAATCTGGGCATGGCTTCACTGGGTCCTCTGCTCAGGGTCTTGTCAGGCAGAACTCAGGCTAGCAGCTGTGGATTCATCTGAAAGCTGAGCTCCCCCTCCGTGCTCATTGGTTGTCGGGCAGAATTCCGTTCTTTGTAGGTGTAGGACAGAGGCCCTCATTACCTAGAGGTGTCCTGCCATTTTCTGCCATGTGACCTTCTCCACAACGTGGTCCTTTGCTTTTTTAAAGTCAGCAGGAGAAATTCCGTGCTGCTTTGAATCTCTGACTTCTTCAGTTTCTGATCCTAGACCCTCTTGTAAAGGACTCACCTGATTAGGTCAGGCCCATCCAGGATAATCACCCTGGTGACGATCTCGAAGTCAGGTGATTAGGCGCCTTGATTACACCAGCAGATTGTGATGTAAGGTGAAGACCTTGGCCATATAATATATTCTACTCCTGGCAGTGATGTATTTACAGATCCTGCCCACAGTTAATGGGAGAGGATTATACAGGCTGTTGCATCAGATTGTTTAAACAAACAACATTAAGGACCCAACGCTGCTCTGTAGATTCTGTCTGAGGCATTCGCTGTGGCTCTGTGACCTGTAAACATTTCTTTCTCCACAGCACTAATCACACTGAAAAGGGGCTCTCCGGCAGTACCATGGATAAAGCTCGCGTGATGCAACTAATGTAGCGTTAACTCTGTCTAGTGACTATGCAAATGTGAAAGAAGTCACCTTTCCCCAGGGGACGGCCTCCAGCTCTGTGGGGATTCAGGGAAAGGGTGCTATTTGGCAAAGCCTGATGTGTCCAGATGAGAAGAGGCTCAACAATGCCAGGGCCGACAACCTTCCCCAGCGCGGTGCGTGTCTGCGTGCGGGTAGAGGGAGTCCAGGAGCTGATGTTCCCTTGACGCTTGGGCCATCGGATCAGAGACCCAAGCAGACAGGTGCCGGCCAGTCCTCCACACGTTTGTACCTCTGACCGCCGGGTCCTTAAAAATAAAGTCAATAATGCTCCTCCTATGCTGGGCACTTCTCATCCTTTAAACCTTCCTGTGAAATGTTGCAGCCTGAAGCCTGCAGGTCACGCCCGGGGCTGGGAACGGCTCCTCCTCGACAGACCCACACACCCCTCGAATGCTCGCCCGGGTCACAGGAGACTGTTTGGACTTTTCTGCTCTTTTGCACCGATTTTTTTTTCCTTTGTAAGATAACATATATATCATTCAGAAGGAAGAGGTTTATTTTTGTATTTTGAAGACATTCCCTCCTGGCTTTATGAAGTTTATACTTTCTTCATATAAACAGGAAGAAAAGAGTGCTTCCCATGAATACTTTATGTGAACACAAATGCAGCTTTCTTTGAACTACTTGGTAACGCCGTGTACGCTGCATGGTCTAGCAGAATGAGAATGTGAGTCCCGTGCTTTTAAATTTTGAGTTTGCCACATTAGAAAAAAAGTAAATCAGTAAAACTAATTGCAGTAACACTTCTATGTAGCCAAGCATATCCAAAATATTATCATTTCCGGATGTAATTAATGTAAACTTATTAATGAGACATTGTACACTCCTTTCCTTTTTCTTTGTACTGTTGGAATTCCAGGGTGTATTTTATGCTAACCAAGCACCTCCATTGTCCAGCCACATTTCAAGTGTTCAATAGCCACACGTATCTAGAGAGTTTATTTATTTATTTGACAGAGAGAGAGACAGCAAGAGAGGGAACACAAGCAGGGGGAGTGGGAGAGGGAGAAGCAGGCTTCCCGCGGAGCAGGGAGCCCAATGCGGGGCTCGATCCCAGGACCCTGGGATCATGACCTGAGCCAAAGGCAGACGCTTAATGACTGAGCCACCCAGGTAACCCTGCACAACAGAGATTTAGAGTATCAACCAGTGACAAATGCTTTCTGCCATTCTGCTTTCTGTATACTGACAGCAGGGTAGGAGAATGAATTTAAAACAAGGCCTGTACCACATCGTCCTCGCTGGTCTGTGCAGAGACCCTACATATACTGGGGGGGGGGGCGTGGGGGGGCAGGGGTAGAAATCCATAAGGCCACAAATACCTCTCTTCCATATGACTCCCACCACCCTAAGCTGGCCTGAAAGCCGCACTGTTCAAAACTCTCCTCTGAGATTTCTG